TAAACATTCTAAAGTAACCAGAGTAAATATTAATTTTGACTTTCAGCAAAGTAGTTTCATATTGATCATAAGAAGATTAATAAAGGTAACAAGTTTATACAAAACAAATACAAATTATTAAACAGTCTGTTCTCCTATATTCTTTATTTCCATTCAACTCTAATTTTGTTCGTGCTTTTTTTTTTTTACTTTTTCAATTTTCAAACTTTCAAACATTTTAAAAATAACAATATGATTGAAATATGCAACTTTAATCTAGTCAATGTAAAAGAAGTAGTAAGTAAAGCAATAACAAATCTTTAAGCGCAATCTCTGTATTTTCAAATTCCGTTCAGTTTTCTGGGGCTTTCCAATATGGCGATTTTGGCGTCAATTTTGATATTAGAGATGCGCTATCCAGTTATTATAGAGATCAGTGGTCACGGTATAGAAACAGGTGTGAACTTTCTGGTTAAATGAACTTCCGCGGTTCTCTGTGATAAAGACCGTTACCTAAAATAACAAATAAAAAAAGTATATATTAGAGAAAATGTTAAGAAAAAGATAAAATAAAATTTAAAAACTTTAACGATGAAATATTTTTTAAATTTTATTTCATCTTTTTCTCAACATTTCCTCTAATATATTTTTTTTATATTTGTTATTTTAGGTGTCCCAAGAAGTCCTAACGGTCTTTAATTTTACAATGAAAAATATTTTATAATTTATTTTATCTTGATGAGGAAAGAGAATTTTATCTAATGAGAAAAAGAATGTAAAATTTAAAAAACTTTACAATCTTTTTCTTAATAGATATTTAACTTTATTTAATTGATATTTAACTTTACTTAATGGAACTTTATTTATTTACAAACAAAATAGTAAATAAGTGGAATAAAAAACAAATATATATATATATATATATATATATATATATATATATATATATATATATATATATACATTTGAAAATAAAAAGTTATTAAAAGTGAACAAAAAATAACAATTTTAAGTTTTATTAATTTATGTTATTTTCATTGTGAATATTGTCGTGTATTTTTGTGTGAAGTTTATGTCGTATTTTTTTGTGTATTTTTTAAATTTATTTTCACGGACGTCCAGACGTCCATAAGACGTCCCCCGGACGACGCATGCCTACGGTGATGGAACATAAGGAATATTTATTAGAACAATAATAAAAATAATATTGCTACGCCATGCCAAACCCTTAGTCGATGTAGCAGCTATCCCTTGCAGCAGCAGGCTATAAGATAATCAATGTGTGTAGTGTATATATATATATATACATATATAATATATATATAAAAGTGCTAAATATCTTAATAAATAAATAGAATAAATAAAAATTTATTATTTTATTTATTTATTAAGATGTTTAGCACTTTACAGATTCTTTTTCAGCATTTGGAACAAGAAGAGCCTAAGAACGAAAAAATATAAGTTATAACATAACGGATAAATATTATGGATGAATATAACGGATAGATTTTACCATTTGAAAAGTAATTGATCAAGCGTACACAAATTTTGAGGCAAACATAAAAATATAATGCCAATATAACGCCAAAATAACGGGTAAGGTTTACTTTTTTCCAAAAACATATTGGACAACAATAATAATGCTACATAACAATAATTCTAATTGTTAAGTAACTCATAGTAAAGAGTAATAGTAGAAAATAAAATATATCAAAAACATTTTTTAAAAAATGTTTTTTGTACTAAAGATTTTTTATGTACTAAAAAGCGGAAAATAAACTTTTTAATTTAATTTAAATTTTTACAAGATTCATTTCGAAACAGACCTGACAATCTTTTGTTTACTGAATTATTAAATTTAAAACTTTAAATTTAATAGTTCAGTAACCTAAGGATTGACAGTTCTGTTTCGAAATGAATCTTGCGCAAACCTGACAATCTTAAGTTTACTGAACTATTAAATTCAAACTTTAAATTCATTTCGAAACAGATCTGTCAATCCTTAGTTTACTGAAGTATTAAATTTTAAATTTTAAATTTAATAGTTCAGTAACCTAAGGATTGACAGATCTGTTTCGAAATGAATCTTATGAAAGTCTTAACAAATTAAAAAATTTATTTTTCGCTTTTTAATACAAAAATGATTATATTTATTAGAAAATATTTTATCATTAAATTAATAAAGTAACAAAAACAATAGATAAATAATTTTTACTGTAGGTATGTATTGTTCTATTACAAATTATAGGGCGACGATTTTTTATATGCCTAAAGGCGATGTAGTCTACATATATATATATATATATATATATATATATATATATATATATATATATATATATATATATATATATATATATATATATATATATATATATATATATATATATATATATATATATATATATATTGTAAATATATTTATATTCAGCAGGCTATAAGATAATCGATGTATGGTGTGTGTATATATATATATATATATATATATATATAATATCAATGTATTTAAATTTTGTTTTTTTAAACGCCATTTGGCTTTTTTAATTTATAATTACGCGCATATTTTTACTATTTTTACCTTAAAGTACCACGGTTTCGGTTATTCGTAATAGATAATAACTTTCGGGTGTAATTTTTTAGGAATAGTTTTTAGCGACACGTGTCTATTTTGTTTTACTTTTGCTGGAGTAGTTATTAGTTTTTAAAATTTTATAAATTTGGAGGCAGAAATCGCATGTTATCTCGCCCGGTCACGTGACCAGATGACAAAGCTTTTGTTTTAACTTTTATTTTAAATTTTTTCACTTACAAAATGAAAATTCATGCAGGCAATGAATCATTATGATTAAGTAAACATAATGTTAAAGTATTATTAATTCATGACTAATAGTTTTGCAATAACTCAGAGCTTTCAAAACGTTCGCTATTTTGCCCAGTCTTTCCTTAAAATAATAAACAATTTGCAAGATGTTAACCAGCAGGGCCGCCGAGAAGAGGGGCCACCGGAACAGTTTGTCCCGGGCGGCAGATATCCAAGAGGGGCCAAATGAAATGTTGGTACCTAAATTAAAAATTAAAAAGATTTTTAACAATGATACTTAAGAAATCTGATAAACCAAAAGCCACTACCACAGTAACTCAGTCAAAGAACATTTATCTTAAAATTTATTAACTAGAGAGTAGTGCAAACACAAAAGATTCAGCATCAAAAAACAAACAGAATGATATTGGGCTGTTTAGGTGATTTAATTAAAAATAAGGTTTTATACTGAGTAAAAAAAAATTCTCTAGAATATTAACACTCAAATGGCGTATTCAAAACAACGAAAATTCTTTTTGCTTTTTCGTTGTTTTGAATAAGCCATTTGAGTGTTAATATTCTATAAACGAAAACACACATATTGGTCAAAAAGCAATTTGAAACGGACTAATGGTCCGTTTAAAATAGCTTTTTGACTAGTTGCTAATAAAGTGCATTTACTAGCAACTGGTTATATATATTGTTTTGTGTACAATCTCTTTTCAAATTCTTCTACACAACTATCGTTCGATGTAATTGGACACAACGCCTATTTAGTTCAAAGCCAATATAAACTTTGATTGAAAATACTTGGTTTTGGAAACGTTTTGTTTTCCGTTTTCTTCTTTTTTGAATGGCGAAATTATTAAAATATATAACTATTTAAATGCTTAAAAACCTTTACAAATAAATGAACTTCTAAATTTCCTGTTTTTTTTTAATTATAATAACTATTTTATTACTAACGCTGCATTTATGTTCAGAGAAGGCAACAAACGTTGGACCTCTTTGGATTCTGAAACAAGCACTCTAGCCGCTACGCCAGACTGCTTCTCGTATGTTAAAAGATGGCCTAATTATTTACTTGAGGGCAAACTTTATTCTAACTATAAAGTTGCCGGTCTTTTTATTATTATATAATATTTATTAGTAATATTTTGTATTTTTTGCTTTTTTTCTTTGGTATGTTGTGCTTCTGTATGACGATTTTATTTTTATTGTGTTTTTGTTTACTACTATTTGTAATTCATAAGCAATAGGATACCCATTCAATCTATTTAATACTACAGTGATTTCCTGATATCTCGAACTTCCAAGGGACCGAGAAAATAATACGAGCTAGCGAAAGTTCGAGTTATTGAGTAATTTTTATTAATTGGGTTCAACGGGGAAATACTTTTAAACACTTTAAGTTACAAGAAGTTCGAGTTGTCAAAGGTTCGAGTTAACGGAAGTATTTTTAATTTACAAATAATAAAGCACTAATAAAGATATTAGTGCTTTATTATTTGTGATAATTTTAGTATTTGTAATGTTAGCATTTTATTAGTAGTATTGTTTACAATTTTATTACTACTAATAATGTTTGGCGTTATTCTTTGGATCATTTTTTTTTAATGAGATGTATATTTTTATAAAAAAAGTATGAGTTATCTGTTAACTACCTTAATTTCTTGTTATTATTATTATTATTATTGTTATTATTGCTATTATTATTATTATTGTTATTGTTATTATTGCTACAATTATTATTATTATTGTTATTATTATTTTAATATTATTTTATTTTATTAAGAGTTAAAACAGTTTTACTAATTTAGTCAAATTATTTCCATTGTTATTTCTGATTATAAACAAACTTGTTTCGAATGTGTGATTCTTAAAGAAAATATATACTTTGCTGTTATTATAATTTACTAATTTTATTATAATTCTTGTTAAAGTATATGTGCATATATAAATGTACATTATATTAATTATGTTATATATTCTATTAATTTAATATTCTATTATATTCAAAAAGTCTGATTTTTTTGGTATAACTAAATAAATTTTTATGCAATTTTACATTTATTAGTTAATATTATGTTATTTAACTTCCTTTTATAACCTATTTTTTATGTGGTTTTACTTATTACATATTATTATTATCATTGTTATTATTATTTTTTATCTCATTTAGGTCATTGCGCTTTATTAGTGAATCACTATTTGCAATGACCTGTGTTTTTATAACATCTGTAACACGAAATATATTGTTATTGTTTGTTATTGTTGTTTTTATTGTTACTGGTTAATACGATTTACTTTAAAAGAGTGGTTGCACTAGAGGAGCATTTTTTTTTTTTGCAATGCAACATTAAAACCCTCTGATTCAATTGTAATAAATACTCAATTAAACCGTTTCTTGTGTAAAAAAATGTTATAAAAAAAAATTAAAATATCAAAAAATGTCATATCATTACAGTTTTTTGGCAAAAAAATAAGTATTTTAAAATTAAAAAAATGGCAAAAACGATTGGTATTCTTTTATGCGACGAAACGTATGGTGAAGATTCCGTTGGAAAATTCTACATCGATCTTTTCAAAAAAAATGAAGTTGAAAACTGGGAATACTTTAAAGTAGTTTCGGGATGCATCCCTGATTTGAATAGTTTACATAATTATATAGGATTTATTTTAACAGGATCCTGTTGGTCGGCTAATGACCAAGCAAAATGGATACTCGATCTAGTTGAATTTATAAATCACGTCATTCAGAGCCAACTGAAATCGAACGATGCCCCAAAGCTTTTCGGTTTTTGTTTTGGACACCAATTGATTTGTAAGACATTAGGAGCACGTGTTACCAAAAACGAAGTTGGAAGATTTATTATATCTGAAACAGATATCAAAGTTTTTAATTGTCTTCAAAACAAAGAGTTTTATAAAAGAGTATTCCACGATAAAAAATATATACGCGTAGTAAAACTACACGAGGAAGAAGTGACTGATTTACCTCCAAACGCTATTCTTTTAGGTTCTTCAGAATACTGCAAAAATGAAATTGTATCTTTTGGAGATAAAATTTTATCTATGCAAGGTCATATGGATATTTCAGAAGAAGATCTCCTTGGTACATATCTTACTACACTTAAAGACTTAGGAAAGATTAATGAAGCAGACGAAATCATTCTTATAAATAGTATTAAGGAAAAACAAAACGACTGTTCAAATGTAATAGAAATGGTTCGACAGTTTTTTTATCTATAAATATTTTGTATGTAAAACTTAAACTTTTGTAAGTAAAAATTTAGTATACATTTTAAAATGTATATAATTAAATATTTTTTAGTCGATTTATGCAAATTTTAAATGGTCACAAACAATTTTTTATTTGTTTAAGAGGTGCCACAACTCTAACCAAATGTTATACGTCAAGTAATAAATTCTTACTGAAAAAAGAAAAAAATTTTTTGGGATTCGGCTTTTACAATTAGGGTTTTAAGTTATTATATCCTAGTATAATACAAAAGCTTTTTTTTTTCTTTTTTTTTTTTTTTTATGTTTTGTTGTGACATTATTATTGCATTTTATTTTACGTCTGAGGACGGGCTGAACTAAATAGACTGAACTATTACACAAATAAATTAAAAATTAGTACTTTGCTGTGTTTTATGTTTTATATATTAAATAGTTTATAAGCTAATATTCCCAGTTTGATTTTTGTTGTTTTGCATTAAAACCCGAAGTCGACTTTTCAAGACCCGAATTTACCTGGAAGTTTAGACGAAATTTTATAAAAATCATTATAATACATTTTTGAATAATCATTTTTTATAAACCAAAATTTTTTTTATCTGCTCGTAATTAACCATGTTTCAAAACATATCAAAACACAAGTAAAACAAAGTAATTTTTTAATTATTAAAACAAAAATGCAATTATGAGAATTTAAGTTATGGAATCTTTACAACTCTTTATGTTTTTAGACGTACATGAACAAAAGAACATTAGAGTCATTTTACGCCAAGTGGTCCAGAGGTCCTTTCTCTACCATCTCCTATTTTAATAAAATTTTTTCAGTATGTTGTTAAACATGTTTCATGAACATTGCCAAATTTTTAGACTAAAATGTTTATTATTTCGGGTTTTTTGAAGGCTTACCCAAACTTCAATATCAGTTTGTAGCTAAAAATTGTATTTTTGAGGTCTTATATTTTTGTAATGAAAAGGTAATATATCTTAAAAACGTGGTTTCTCAGCAAACCGAAGGTGCAGATTACATAAAAATTATTACAAGTTTCATATTATGCCTACATTTTAGTCTATGGTTCACCAAATACCGTTGTCACAGGAAATTATGCTGCTAGGAAATTTTGCGCCTGCGGCATAATTTCCTAGGAAAATCTGCTGCTCAGCTGCATTATATCCTACGAAAAATTGCCGCTCGCAGGAAAATTTGCTGCCGAAAAAAGCAAATCAATTAGTGCCAACCTATCCTAAAATTTTTTCTAAAAAGTTTCAATTTTTTGCTTAAACAAACAGGTTAAATTAAATGAGCATACTATAAAGTTCAAATTAAAATTTACTTACAATTAGTAAAGTATTTTTCATAGTTTGTAACCATTTCATCTTACTAAAATCACCTTTTTAAATCAATTTACTTTTTAAGTAAGCTACATAATAACTTAATGAAAGTAATCCTCATTAACCCTTGGAATAAAAAATATTTTTATTAAGAAATATTTTTTATTCCAAGGTTATATATACAAAAAAAAATATTTTTAATTGATAATTATACTTTTATTAACATTAACTAAAAATATAAATTAATTAGTTTTGATAGTTATTTTATATATTTAATTATGTAAATATTTCTAGCTTTTAATGAACTTTTTTGAAGTATCTTGTACACTATATAATTGGCTGACTTGAATAATTATAGTAAAATGAAACTGTAAGACATAATATATATATATATATATATATATATATATATATATATATATATATATATATATATATATATATATAATTTATATAATATATTTTTAAAAATATTTTACAAAAAACATTATGACAGTTCGCAATTCCACTCCTGCACTGAATTGTCTTCTTTATATTGGGCACATGTAATACGGAACCATTTCAAGGATTTGTCGCAAGCAACCATAAAATCATTAGTGCAAGGCATTAAGCAGGTCAATGCAGTTGAACATTTACAGATGAGGGATTGCTACGCGTAATAATCAATTTACTTTGTTTATTGAATAATGGAAAGGGTTTAAACTGTCCAGCATAAAACATTTGTTCAAGATATTGTCTCATAAACTTTTGCTTATATGATAAATTTTCTGGTTGTTTACCCAAAGCCAATTGGACAGCATTAGCTATAGCAAATAATACACAATCCAAACTTCCAGTCTGTTGTTCGACACTTTTAATATTTACAACAATACTTGGTGGAAATTCACAATCATAATCGGCAAAATTCTTGAAACATCTAGCTAACTGATTAATTAGATTTGAATCTAATTTGCTATACATACTATCATAAAGTGAAATTGATCCATTTATAGAACATGAAGTGACCCAATGAGAAGTAAGCAAGTGAATCTTAACGGAAATTCTACCTGTACTGACTGCCTTAAATCCATCAGTCTGTGACAACAAGGTATCCTGCAAACCAATAATATCAGGAAATTGCTCCTTTATTATCAACTGAGCAAAATTTAAATGTTTATCAACTCTTTTCCGTCTAATATAACTTTTTTCCGTCTAATATAACTTTTTTCCGTCTAATATAACTTTTTTCCGTCTAATATAACTTTTTTCCGTCTAATATAACTTTTTTCATTGTCAGCATAAAAATAGAAAGTTGCTCAGATACAGATTTACACTTATCCTCAGAATTATTTCGGACTATTTGAAACCATATTATTTGAAATCATATTTTCAGATTTTGAATAATTTTGAATAAATCTTCAAACGAGTCATATTGTATACTTGTTTTAATTTCTTATTGCAATCATTTATATAACATGAACGAAAAGTATTCTTTTATATGATTTTTTTTATTTTTAAAATTTTGTATGACTTTTATTATTTGTAAAATTCGACTGTATGGGTATATTCGACTTTTCATCAACATATTTAAAAAGTTGACGCTGAAGAGTTTGATTAAACCTTTCATTTTGACCGTTGCTCTGTGGGTGGTAGGCACTTGTAACATTGCACTTTGTTCCCATCATTTTATTTAATTCATGGTTTACCTAAACAAAAAAAACAAAAAAACTATTTATATGAAGAAAAATAATATAAGAAAATAGATCCATTATAAAATGGGCTGTAAAAAATGCTTGTATAGGGTCTGTACTAAATAATAAACAAGTATAACATAACCCAATAAATAAAAATTAGTTAATAAAAGAATTAAGTTAAGCTAGTTTTGGCATAAAACATTTTTGTTGTGAAAAATATTGACAAAGCTTAAAAAAAATTGATGAGGTTGATTAACTGTTGTTTTTTTAACTCTCATTTTGTTTATCAGTTTAAATGAACAAGTTCTAAAGTTGTAAAAATTCTGACTTTTCTTTATTCACTCTTCACATCCAATTTTTCATCCAAAAATTCTTTATTCACTCTTCGTATCCAATTATGATATATCAACTTATCAAAATTTAGAATAATGAAAGTTATATTACAAAAAATATTATTATACAAAAAATAGAACTTTTTCCAAAAAAGAAATGAAAACTAAAAATTAACAAAAAAAAAAAAAAAAAGACAAATAAACGAAATCCAACACAGTACCTCATTAACAAACTCTCTTCCTTGATCACTTATCTGAACTTCACAAAAACCATGTCTTGTAAAGCATGTATACAAGAACTCTGCTGCACTTGTAGCTGTTTTATTAGATAAGGAAGCAGCTTCAGGCCACTTGGAGAATAAACAGGTTGCTGTTATGATGTATTTGTTTTTTTTTTCTGTTAAAGGAAGAGATCCAATTAAATCGATTCTAGCTCTACTCCATATCTTTAACTTTAGTAGGATGTAGTTCAGCTGATTGTTTTTCAAATGCTCCTTAAGTTATATTATGAAAGAAACAATAGAAATTATACATATTTTAAGGTTAGTTACAAAATTTGTATTTAATTTGTAAATTTAATTTAAAATTATAATTTGAAATTAAATAAGTATTTAATTAAATAAGTATTTATCAATTTATATTATTTGAAAATTTATTTACAATTATGTTTAATTTTTGTTATTACTTAGATAATATTTTATCTAAGTTATTATTTAGTAATCTTAAATTTACATATGTGTTATTAATGCAGTGTCATCGCTAAAGGAGCATAGCTATTTTGCAGGGTTTTTTTTTTGAAAAATAAAGGTAATGAAAAGTATTAAATAAACAAATATTATGCTATGTTATGATTGATACACAACAATACGGTTGAAACTATGACAAGACAGCTGTTTGAAAATGCGCATTTGACCGCAAGCCACGCTAAAATAATAGTTTTAAGCATGTTTTGTTGTATCAATCATTTCGTGAAAACTTCTAATCTGATGCCAGATCAAAAGTTTATACGAACTGACTGAGTAGTCGGTAAAATGCGAACCATAGTTCTATTGGTTGTTAATGAAGTAATGTTTATTTCCCGTTTACCGTTAAATTGTTTATTTTACTATATATTTTATGGACTTCAAATAGAAACATAAATTATATATAATTTAAAAGAAATACAATCTAATTTAAATAAAATATATCAAATTACACTATATTTAATTTAAATTAAAAAATTGACGAGCAAAAGTTTTTTAAAACATCATAACTGTAGTGGTCAGTAAAATATAATGCCTTGGTTCGCAAAAAAGTTCGCATTTTACCAATTCGCACTTTGCGGTTCGCATTTTAACGACTACCAACTGACTGAGATAAATAAAGTTAAAAAAAAAAAAACCCTCCTTTTATTAAAACACCCTGTTTATTAGATTTGGACTAAAATTTTCACCCTTCCTTTTATCCCTCCCCTTGTATTAAGGACTAGAGAGTAGCTTGTACTTATAATAAAACAAAAAAATTTGATAGCACAACAATATACGCTAGAAATATTTTTTTTAAATATATTTTTGAATTTAGCCGGCAAAAACGCTGACAAAAATACCAATTCTCATTTCTTTGCGACGAGAGTTTATTAAATAGCAGTCTCTTTATCTATAAACGATATTACTACACAATACGACGCGAGGCCTGAATCCATCGTTAATATACAATTAAAACGCTTTTTCAAATCCTATACCGGATCATCACTTAAATCTGACCATTCTGTTGATGTACTAGATTTAGAACCACCTCTTTTACTACGTTTGCTTCGATTTGATTCTCTGCTACTATTTGAACTCTTAGAATGTCCTCTTGAGTCTCTTCTGGATCGTTTATGTTCCTTACTATGAGATCTTGATCGAGATCTAGACCGTGTTCTTGAACGACTGTGGCTTCGCTTGTGTCTTCTTGATCGTGATCTACTGCGACTGTGTGAACGAGAGGAACGAGATCGTGACCTTGAATGAAAGAATCAGTTAAAAATCAATACGTAATTTCAAAAAAATTAAAAAAAAAAAGGTATATCCATTAAACCTAAAAACTTTAAACGCTTTTTTTAAAGATGCTTTTAATCTCGCCTATTTTTTTAATTGTACTAAGGATTTGCAGTCAAATTTGAAATAACTTTAAAGCTAGCTGGAGCTCTGAAACTTTGTAAAAATTTAGAAAATAAAAAATTAATTAAAAAAACAACGACAAATTAAATTGCATTAAACGAATCAATGGAGAAATGGTAATAAAGGAAAGACAATGTAATTATAGGAAAAAATAACTCAATTGTCATTAAAACTCAAAATGGAGTTAGTGTGGTTGCAGCTCTGATGGATTAGGTAAAAGTAAAAAAATATATTTATTGTAAAATGTTATATTTATTGTAGTCTATAGTCCAAACAAGATATTACATTTGAAATTTGAAAATATTGAACGCAAAAAAATAATTGAAGAAAGATAAATTATTCACAGAAACCCCCGAAAAAAAACCACACGATTTTATAGATTACACCAAAAAGTCAGCACATATTGAAACAATTAAAATGTGGAATTGAGGAATACATATTTCTTTTTTCTTCAAGTGTTCAATGTAAAATAATGCTATATGATTAATAATTAAAGATAATTATCAAAGTTGGTTGCTTTATTTAATATTTAATATTACTATCAGATGGTATTAAAAAGTACAAAATTGTTCACTAATTATAAAATAACCAATACTTTGTTCAGGTTAAAAACTATATTCAATTTTATATGTTTTAACTCTTGCAATAGTTCAACATGAATTTATATATATGTAATTTGTTTCTTATAGACCTTAACTCTTCATTAAGGTTTGATATATTAAGAGTTATTTCTTTAGGTTTTTTACTTACTATATCAAAACAAATTTGTGGCCATCAGGTGGTCTACGTTTTATAACAGTTTCTTATGCTACAATGTTTTGTAATCTGTTTATTACTAGGTGAATAAGCATATAAACTTGGAACAAATGTTTTATTTTTTTTTTGCTAGCTAGATCATAGTATTGATAGAAACGTGAAAAGAGAATGGAAACAAGTTATTTATATTATATAGATACTACTATAAAATATACAACTATATTGAATTTAAATAATCATATGAGAAACACAGCATAGTCTAGTTTCGCCATCAGTTTGACTATCTACAATTTTAATTCTTTTAAATAGTATATACTTTATATACTATCTTTAGTTACGAGAGTTGCTTCTTTTTTTTAGTAGCAAATATAAGTAGCTGATAGTTTTTTCTCTGTAAAAGTTCAATCAGAAACAATAAATCCAAAAATTAATATAAAAATATTTGTTACCATTGAATATAAATATTTTATTTTCTCTTTTTGTCTTTCACTTAGTAATGTTTTTCCATTATATTTTACTTATTTTAATATTTATTATACTATCTTTGTGTTGCATAGATCTTATTTTGAAATTTAAAGAATATTAAAAACCAATTAAAAAGTATAAGAGAAAGTATTTGCCCTCATTTTATATTATTGTAAGTTTTTCATAAAATTCCAGAAAAATATTAAAAATACTCATTATATTCTTAAGGTTTTATGTTTGCTTGCAAATATTTGCATATTATATGATGGTTAAAGTGCCAAAACCAGTTTATTCAGAGTTCCTGATTGATCGGACCCGATACTTTCTTCCAGATACCTGGAAGAAAATACCGGGTCTTTAGCGCTGAATTGTTTTTAAAAAATAATGCTGATTCATTTGTGGTAATTAAGTTTGCCTAAATATACCAAGATTTTTTTTAATAAACAACTATATTTACACTTGAGCTCACAAATTCAAATTACGCAAACTAAAGTGTAAACTCAATGTCTGTAAAGGATTGTTTGAAATAACTTGTCATCTGATGTCGTTAATGTCAAAAGCATAAAGAGCTTTAAAATTAACTTTATTAACTTTGAACAATTCTCTCACACAATAAAAAGAAACTATTCAAATATCCGTATAAATCAATTTCAATTGAATGTATAAATATATTCTGATTTTTATGCAAAAATATATTTAAAATATATATATATAAATTTAGATAATTTGAGGGCTATCGGCGTTACGATGCCGATTTATATCAAAAAGTTTATTTATTAAAGTTTTAACTAAAAGCAATCCTGTTAACAATATTTCCAAACAATTTAAAGTACTACTTAAACAAATAGTTACAGCACTTAAAATATTTCATTCAAAATATTTTGAATGAAGAATTTAAAATTTAAATTTTTATCGAGAGAAAACTTATAACTTTTTTAAAAAAATTTAGCAACTAATTTTAGTTTAAAAGGGAAGTTTTTATGGGATTAATTATTCTTTAATAGTATATTTGCCTCACTTATCACTGCATATTACAGTCAAAATATTGATTGTAACACACTGAAAAATAATTAGGGCTAATATACTATTAAAGAAGACAAATAACTAGATTGGATAATTCACAATTTACCCATGTGTTCATTTTCTTTAACAGTTTATTAGTTAGAAACAAAATTAAATCATCCATTATTTTTAATTCATAGTTAAGCAATTTCAATTTTTAAACTTGGGAACAAATTGAATTTTAAAAATCGATAAAATATGAATCCTACTAGTTCTTAAATAAACTATTGTAAGGAAAATTTATAAATATATAATAAATAATTTAAGAAAAAGATAATGCCCTTTTGAAAATTCTTTTTTATCTAATAGTTTTTTAACGCTGTTGTTTCAATATTTTCCTTTATATTTATGATTTAATTTAAATTTAAAGTACTAATTCATTTATTCAACTTTGATATTTTAAATAAAGTATGAGAGTTTTTTATTTTAAATAAAGTGTGTAAGTATTAAATTAAAATTTTTTTTTCCAAACAAAAACAGTTACTTGGTTTGTTGCTATGAGCTAAGAGTGTTTTGTAATACATCAACTATCAATACTTCATTATTACATATATCTTTACAATTTTCTTACTTGTCAGTTTCTAAAATAATCTTCTTATGTAAAAATTATTTTATGTAATAGCATTATAAAGCAAGTACAAAAAACCCCATCTAACAGCACTACATTATGAAAAAAGTTATTTTAAAAGGTTATAGTCAACTCTTCTATTATTAAAAAGATTTTAAATTTCACATTCCATTGTATTATTGCAAATTCAATAATTTAATTTCATGACCTTAAACACATAAACTCAATTAGTTTGAGTTTATAAAAATGTGATTGGAACTACCACTACATATTTTTACAATACTTAGTCATACAAAAAATTCAAGAGTCTAAGGAACAAATAGAATTATTAAAAATTCTTTTCTATCTGCAATTTTTAGTAATTTTACTCAGTTTTTTTTTAGTTTATTTTTATGAGTCATTTAGGTGCTAGAAAAAAAAAACTTTTTGGAGTTAGATAAAAAAATTATATTCTAGGGAATCAAATCAGACAACACATACAAAATATATTATATATACATTATATAGATTTTAAATTTAATTTTTAGTTTTTTAAACAATTTAATGTTTAGTATTAAGCTTTTTTGTTGTTGTTGATACTGGGCATCTGTGGTATATAAAATTTAAAAAATAAAATTAATAAAAATAAACCTTGATCTGGAGTGCGATCTTTTACTTTTTCTTTTATAATCCCTATCTCGAGAACGTGATCTTGATCTGGTACTGTCCCATGCACTTCGTCTGTGTGACGATGTACTTGATTTCGAATAACTAAAACAAAAACAACAATCAAAGTTATTTGTTAATAAATACAAAAATAAAGTGTACATACATTTTGTATACATACTAAAATACAGTGCGTGAAACTCAACATATGCCAAGATTTTTACCAAAGGTTTTTTTTTATTTTACTAAATTGTCTCAGCTAAGGGCAATTTAGTATAATAAGTATACACATTCATGTATCATATGGGCTTCAGTACATACATTGATGACATACTAGGGAGAACTTGTAAGCTGCTACATCAACTTTGGTTTCGGTTTGAACAGCAATTTTATTAATTTTTTTTTGTTTTTTTCACTTTTTCCGATAAAACTGTACGAAAAAATTATGCTAAAAAAAGTTAGCATTTTACGTGTATGTGAGTATGTATATTTATGTGTATATATATATATATATATATATATATATATATATATATATACATATATATATATATATATATATATACATATATATATATATATATATATATATATATATATATATATATATACATATATATACATACATACATATATATATATATATATATATATATATATATATATATATATATATATATATATATATATATATATATCAGACCTTGTAATAAAGTGTTATAGTGAATTTAAAGGTGAAAAACAGCTTTGCAAAAGGCTAGTAAAAGATTATGAATTTTGAAATCACTATAAAATTCTGGTTCTTTTGAGAACCAGGTTGATATACTTTTGAAGAAAAAAAATTAACAGCCAGTGTGTAATCAAGGGTCATGGTGGGTGACCTTTTTCAAAAATTAAATAAAACTAATGACTTTTCAGTTACTTTAAAACCAAAGTTCATCTGTTTTTTGTATTAGATATTGGGGATACCAAAAATTTTCTAAAAAGTCACATCCTTAATGCACACGCTTAGCTTATTTAGATAAGTTAACACTAGATCGCGTTAACTTCGTTTGTGGATCGAATCCTTATCCTATAAATGTGTGTGGATCGAATCTTTATCCTATATTTATGTGTGTGTGTCTCTCTCTTTTATCACTGAAAACACTATGGCTACAATCTTCAACAGACCAGGTTAGTCTCTTTTGAAACTCCTTACAATGTGGTCTGCGACTCTTAAAAGCGCTTGCCTTGAGCAATGCAAGAACCGATTCCTCAATTTTTCAATATCTTATTAATAATTGGAATTCAACTATATTAAAATGTCTCTACTAGATGACTAGTGATGTACTGATAGCACATTTGTGGCTGATGCAATACCGATGGAAGGGAAAAGATCAATACCGATTAATTAACTAATTGTTAAAATTTAAAAAATATAAAACCATATAACTTTAAATTGTATAAATTTTTTCATGGAATCAGTACTGGTAAACAAATACTTGGATCCAAATCAGAACCAAACCATTATTTTGAAAGATATTATAAAAACACAGTTAAAAAAATATAAATTTTTCAGTTTTTTTTTTTAATATATAAAAAAACTTTCAAAAAATAAATACAATTTTAGAGGAACGCTTCTTATTTCAATTTTAAAAATAAAATGGTACTAAGGTAAGCAGTTTACTTAGAATTCTTTATTAATTTATTAGTATTTTAGATATCTAAACAACAATCATATATAAATATAGAGGGCTATACTTGAACACATAGATAACAATGCTTAAATAGGTTACTTTTAAGTATAATAAAAGATTAACACAAAATAAACTTATTCTAAAAACAACATTACGCTAATAAAAGTAAAAGTACATTCAGCTGTTAAATTAAAGCTTATAAACATCATCTTAAGAATAAACAAATTAGCCAGTAAACAAAGTCAAAATAAGCAATTTTTCAAAATGGCATATAGAAATGGCTATATAGAAAAAATTCTAAGTAATGCATAAAGTTTATTTATTATTTAATTATTATGCAGGATAAAAATATTAGAATGCCATTTGTTGGAAAATCAGTAAATTATTAAAAAAAGGCTGATGCCAATACCAATTATGCTTAAAGTGGCCAATTAAGCTGATTAATTAATTGGTACATCACTACTGCTTACACCATTGCCATTTTTTATATTGTTGAATTCTGATTGTAAGATTGAATGTTGTATTTTTCTTGTTGTTTATGATAATGCTACGTTGATCTTGATCAAAAAGTTATTTTGATTATCTTTTATAATTTCTATTGATTGTACTTTTTATTATGTATTCAATTTCTCTAATGTATTCAATTTTTTAAACATCTCTGATGTATTCATTTTTTAGCGATTTTATAGTTATTCAATTATAAAAAATTACCTGCTTTCTTGTTTCAAGCAAAACACTTTTCAAGCCCATTTCAAGTGGTTATATATTTCATACAATATATTTCACTATATTTCATATAGTGGTTAAATAAAATTTCATGTATATTTTTCTAGCAAACATCTAAATTTAATAACTAAAACTTTTTTCTTTGGCAAGAATTGTTGTCATATCTGGGGCGGATCTTCTAATGATGCTCTTTGTCTTTTAGACAAGGTGCAAAAACGTATTGTAAACATAGTTGGACCTGCTCTTGCAACCAACCTTCAACCATTATCTCTTTCTCTTTTCTACAAATACTATAATGGTCACTCCTCTAAAGAGCTAGTGTCTCTTGTGCCATCTACTAAAATTCACTCTCGTGTTACTCGTCATTCAATTAAGTCCTTTTTCAGTTACTGTTCTTTAATGCTCAAAAAACTCTTATTTATCTAGTTTTTTTCCTCGAACATCAGTTCTTTGGAATTCGCTTTCTTTATCATGCTTTCCTGATTCATATAATTTGCAATCTTTTAAGTTGTCTGTCAGTCGTTATCTTGCTCTAAAATCTTCATCTTTTCTCTTCCAGTAACTTCCAACACTAATTAGTGGTTGCTTGCAGTCTTGTTGGAAGCAAAGATGTTTAAATATATATATATATATATATATATATATATATATATATATATATATATATATATATATATATATATATATATATATATATATATATATATATATATATATATATATATATTATCAATAAGAACAATTTTCATTACTAAATGTCATGTCCAATTTGATGTAATTGCAGATGTTTAATCAGGGAAGCAATTAGTGGATTAGAAAGCAATTACTCATTCAAACTCTTTTGTACCACTATATAAATATATGTATATATATATATATATATATATATATATATATATATATATATATATATATATATATATATATATATATATATATATATGTATGTATATTTATGCATGTATGTATATATATTTATGTATGTATATATATTTATGTATGTATATATATGTATGTATACACACACACACACACACACACACATATATATATATATATATATATATATATATATATATATGCATACACTACCACCCATAATTAATCAAATGGTTGTAATTTTTGAAATAAGATATCATAGTTTTACTCACTATTGGGAGAGAAACTGTAAGCCATGTCTACCTGAATTATATATTATCTTCCTTTTTATTAGGTCTACAAAAAAATTAATATAAGTCTGATTAGATTAATTTATATAATTTACGTATCTTTTAATCACCCCTACCAATAATAACCGCAATACATATTCTTTGCATTCTACTTAACGACTTATCTATTTTGCGCCAATTTCAATTTTATGCCACTAACTAATAAGTTTTGTGCATATCTTATGCATGATTTGGCATTAGTTTTTTTAATTACATTTAAATCCTCCCATAAAAATCTGATAGGAGAGTGATCTTGTTATTGGGGAGGCTAAATCAATTTATTTAATATTTGATCGAACTCAACCAAATAACTTAAACAAGTTTTTTGAAAAATATGTTTCAGATTTAAACTTCAAGTTCATTTTCTTTTAAAAAAATGAATTGCTTCTCATTAACCTGACGATGTAGCATGATTTTTAGTACACAGGTAAAGTACTTTTTTCATACTCCCTCTATTTTCACTAAGTCACCTGCGGCATTCTAACAAAAAACAGCCCCACACCTTAACACTACATCATACATGTTTTACAGTCAATAATTCACACTATTTTATCATCAATTCATCAGGGTTTTTTTTCCAGACAATCAATCATATCTTAAAACCAAAGATTTAAACTTACTTCAACTCGTCGGTTCGTGTTTACAGTCATTGATGGTCCATTTTTTATGTACTTGCCCATTTAAGCATTTTTATTATTTTTATCAAAGCATTTTAACCAAAATAAACATAAAAAAAAACATTAAAAAAAAAAGCCATTCAAATAATTATGAATGGTAGTGTGTGTGTGTAACAGAACATGAAATTTGTACAATTAGACATGTAGGGCACAATTAATACAAACATGTGTGTGCTTTTTAAAAACTTAACTCACTCGTGCTTTAATGCATCTTCCCTTCTATATCCATAACCGCTATCTCTTTTGCTATAATAAGCAAAAACAGGATGATTTGGATTTACAAATTTTGGATCATAACCACCTGTTTTTGTAGCACGCTCTGGATCAAAATCAGTTCGATTTGGAACAGAATAAGCATTTCCAGGATTTCGAAAAACATGTAAAAAGTTACATGCTTTACCTCTCGGACACAATCGCTTGTCGAATAAGCCTGAAAAATAATAAAAATATAAAACATGATAACCTATAGGTCAAAATAACCTTAATGTGAAAAAAACATACCACAAATCGATGACTTCCAATTTGTTACAGGAGAAAGTTCTACTGACAGCTGTCTTCCTGCATACCATCTACCATTAAACATTTTTAGAGCTCTGAGAGCACCATTATGACTAAAATATGAACAATTTTTAGTTTAAGCTTAAAAAATGAAAAAAAAAAAGTTTTAACACATTTTATGAAACTTACTCTTGATATTGGACGTAAACATTTCCTCTTAAATGTGGAACATAGTTTTGGCAACACTATAACAATTAAATAAAACATAAGCTCAAAATGAATGATGAATGTATTGTCTTTAAGTTTTACATAATATTTTGTGTAAAAAAACAATATACCTTGAACATTACAACAGTTCCTGCTGCTCGAAACTCTCCAATAACATCATCATAAAACTTTTCAAACTCATGAATCAAATCCACCTCATCATACTAAAATAATAAGAAACTTTTAAGTATAACATTAAGTAAGAAAAATAATATTTAAAAATTTCTCTTTTTCTTCGATACTATGTGTTAAGTTTAAAAATTTTTCTATTTTCTATAATAAACTAGAATAGACAGAAGATCAGGCCTTGCGATAAAGCGTCGGGCGATGTGAATTTTACGTCGTCCAAGGGTGATTTTGCGTGTAGCTAGGGCTATTTGCGTCGAGCAAAAAAATTTTTGTTTGAGTATATTTAAAGATATTTTTGAGCGGAATTTTAATGAAGTAATTGACGATTATTTTAACATTTAATAAAGTATTTTAAAAACCGCATGCAGTTGAAATAAAAGTTTGAATTTAAAAAAATTAAATATGCTCATTATTTTCAAGTAGAAAAAATTCAAAAATTAAAAAAAAAAGTTTAAATATTTTAAGCTAACATTTTAATAAAATTATTCAGCATTAGCAACGTTGTCGATAAAATTGAACAAAAATACTTTCTTTTAGTTTTAGATTTTAAACTTAAATAACTATTTTACAGGGGTTTGATAGGTTTTAAAATTATTCCATAGATTTAAAAATATTTATTAACTGTTAGACGTATTTAAAGTATTTAAGAGTGATTTCGAGGAAACATTTTAAAAATTGCTGAGGGCAAATAAAAAAAAAAAAAGATTAATATTAAAACGTATTTTACTTGATTCAATGAAAAAGTACAGTTATTAAAATTTTTGTAAAAAGTAACTCAAAAAAATTACTTATACTAAATAATAACGATCGCTTTTATGTTAAAAGTTACCGAAACTCAACGAAGCGTGCTCAAGAACAGCTGCTGAAAAATAGAACGTCAATATTTTCGAATAATTTTTAAGAATAATTTTTAAGAATAATTTTTTCGCTAAAATATTTCTTTTATACCTATAAGATTTTTATTCTAACATTTTATTTTATTTTACTAGAAATAAAATTCCTTGTTAACATTAAAAATCTATTCAAAACGTTCGTTTAAGTTTTTTATTAATACGAGTGATTGTGCTTATCAACCGCTTTATGAAAATAAATAAATATATATAAATAAATATTATATAAAATCGCTTTTAAAAATATTAGCTATTGCACAGTTTTTAATCGTACAATATTAAAATTTCCAGTTTATTACTCGCTGACTTTTTAAAAAGAAAAAATAATTATTTGAAAAACTTTAAATTACATATTTAAGAAAAAAAAAATCAAATATTAGCATATTTTATAATCTTTTTTAAATTTAAGTTATAATGTTTTTTATTCGTTTAGTATAGACAAAACGTGACAAACTCGAGAAAATAAACAAATGTTTTTACATTTTAAAAAACGAAACATTCCAAAACATTTTTAAATAATAACATTTCTACATAAACGATTTAAAGTAGTTTTGCGGTAATTAAATAAATTGGTGCAGTTAATGTCGATAAATATGAAAAGCAAATAAAAAGAATTTAATGACGTCAAAAATCATGTCGTGCTTATGCGTCGCGCAGCTCTTATTCATCGCAAGGCCTGGAAGATACATATAATTATTTTTTTAAATTAACTTAAAACAGCCTGAAGCAAATTATTACCTCTAAACCAAAATCATTATTTCTTTCATTAAGCATTGGTATAGCTAAACGTGCATCAGTGAAAAAGTTTTGGATCAAAATAGTTGGGCTGTTATCAAACTTTAAATGTATTCTTGAGCATCTAAATGACACCATAGTAAGTAAAAATAAATAAAGGAAAAAAGTTGTTACAGTAAACTCCCGGATGTTCAAAACTTATTTGAAGCAATTTTCACTCCCCATGAATTTTCTATAACAAACTTTATCCAGTACAAGATTTTCAGTTATGCGAGATTTTGGTTATTCAAAGTAAATTCTTATTCCTCTAGGAGGTTCGAAAAACTGGGAATTTAATGTATTCCCCTAGGAGGTTTGAGTAACTGGGAATTTATGTAATTATGAAACTAAAATAGCAGTTTTACCTTTTTAGAGATTTATTACTAATTATTTTGAAACAAATTTGATAAATTTTTCAAATTATCAGTAAGTCTGTTTTGAACAGTGTCTACACAGCTGTCTCCAAAATACATTGTATTTAATTGCACCCAGATAACTTAAGCTGTGTTTTAATAGCACCTAGATAACTCATGCTGTATTTTAATAGCACCCAGATAACTTATGCTGTATTTTTGCATTTCAATAAAGTACAGAATAGTTTAAAAGTTTTGAAATCAAAAATGAAAGAATTTGTATATACAGTTCTGTATATACAATTTGAATATACAGTTCCATATATACACGTGTACTATTTTGTAATACAGCTGTATTTTAATTATTTTTTGATGCAAAAATAAACACATTTGCTTTTCAAAAAATCAGTATTTAGTATTGAATTAAATAAATTATTTACATTTAGAGGTCTTTTAGAGCATTTATTAAAACTAATAATTCTTATGGATTTTTTGTATAGTTTTTCAAAATTAGTTCTTTAATGTTTACAGCTATTTTAATTTGTATAAAAAATTAAAAAAAAAAACAATTCAATTTTACATGCATTTATAAAATAAAAAAAACTGCACCATCTCAAAACCACGGATGACAAATGATTTGAGAAACATACAACATGTTTATCAGAACCCTAAGGTTCTATGGAATCAATGCTGATAAAATTCAGGTGGAAGTAGTAGGTGATTGAGGTAATTTAGGTGGAAGTAATAAGTGATTGAGATAAAGATTCAAGTGTAAGTAATAGATCTTAATAATCATAAACTAAAACTTTCCTGAAGGTAAAAATTATGAAAAAAACCCAGCACCTTAGACTATCAAAACTTTATAGGCCAATTCAATGGTACTTATCTCAGTTGGTCCAACTAAAGAAATTTCCACTGTTTTTGTTCGAAGTTAAAACATGCTATTTACCTTTTTGTATTAACTGTGTTGAATTATCTTTTTAAAATCCAGATGTTTAATGAAATACCTAGTTTCTGTTAACATGGAACTGAGTATAATCTGATTATATGTTGCTGTTAACATGTTAATCTATTGTTATATAAACTTTGAATTTTACAAATTTTAAAATAGCTCTAACAACTGTTAGTAAAAAATTTATTGTACTTTTTCCAAATGTAAACAATTGTGCTGTCATTATTTTATGATTATTTTATTTTATCATGCAAATTAAAAGATTTAATACTATGTATATTATTACATTTAAAATACAGATTAAGTTACATAACTTAATGTGTACTTTTAATGTATATTAGATACATTAAGTTAAATTTCTACAGTATATATTTGTGATACATTGTGATACATAGTGTAGACACTTTGCATCATTTGTGGGCAATAAATTGTCATCCTTAACCTATATTTTAAACAAAACTTTTAACACAAACGTTTCACCATAAAAACATAAAAATGAGATCAGCATTGCTGAATGCTGACCTTAATTCTGAGTATACTCAATACTCTTATGTATATACATAACAGTATACTCAATACTCTTATGTATATACATAATAAACATGATTTTAAAAAAATCTTAGGAATAGCTGGGAACTTGGGATGACAAAAAGATAAACATGGTTAAATTTTTATATAATTGGCAAAAGGCCTAAGATAAAATCAAATATGTTAGACTAACTAAATTGCAGATAACTTAATAATACAAAGTTTTAGAAAAATAAATTTGTTCTAGCCAACAGCAGTTTGAATAAAAAAACAAAGATTAATGTGATTAAAAAATTTTAAAAAAAGAAAAAACAAACAAACTGGTTTTTGAAAATTTAAAAAAACAAAAAAAAATACCTTGGTCCAAAACGACATGCACCAGTTTTAATATAGAATTTGCAATTTCGAGGATCCTAAATTCAAAATTAACTTTTTAAACTGCTAATAAAAATTTTTTAAACCATAAGTAAAAAAAATATAACAATGTTATATTTTTATGATAAATCAAAAGTTACTTATCTAATCAATAATGATTGGTTACTTATCAATGATTGGTTAGAAAATTAAGTATTTATTAAATTTACTATATCATCACTGTACTTGCAAAAACCAAAGATAAAGTCAAATATGTTAGATTTGCTTAGTTTAAATTGCAAATAACTTTTGAAATTTTATAAGAACTAAATTTGCTTATTTCAACAGCAGTTTGTATAAAAACATGAGTAACATGATAAAAAAAAGGTGCCTAAACTGCCACACTAAAATCCACTTAAATTTTATCAAACACAAAATCATATATTATCACAGAGAAAAATAACATTCAAACCATTTCAGTTCCAAACATATCAGATGACACATTATTCCAATTCGTATTAGCAAGACTTTGATTAAAGGATTCTGAGTTATGTCTGTCATGATTGCCTCCACTACGAGGTTGTTCTGGATTAGACTAAAAATTAATATATATATATATATATATATATATATATATATATATATATATATATATATATATATATATATATATATATATATATATATATATATATATATATATATATATATATATATATATATATATATATAGGCCTTAAGTTCTTTTTCTGTGAGCTTTTGCCCACAATCTACTAAAACAGTTTACAAAAGCAATTTATGGCTCTTAGAGTGTAATTTTTTCTTGCAAAAGTGTAATTGTCATTGTAAATAAAATTTAAAAAAATTAATCAAAAAAACAACAACAATTAATTGCATAATAAACTGCAATACTTTTAAAAAGGCACGGTTGTTGCAAAAAAGAAAAAGGAAATTAAAAGTGTGCCAATTTAAATGCAAATGTTTTAAATTATATTGAACAATTTGGTTAATAAAAAATTATTACTCTCTAAATTATATTGATAAAATATAAAATTATTTAACTGATAAAAAATTGAATTATTACACTCTCAATTATTACATAACAATTTTATTTTATGTATGAATTATATATTTTATATATTAATTACTTATATTACCTCACATTATTGTGGAACTTTTAATTGTTGTAATAATTCTTAAAATGCCTGCATTATATCAGGTAACCAATAAAGTTCGTGCGGTTTTTCCTAATTCCTATTTACTAACAAAAGTATTATAAGATAACGGTTGTGGTAGGGAGATAATTTTGTTTATAAATTAAAACTTGTTTCAAGGAGAATCAATCAGTGTGTTTCATAAGTTTTATTAGTGTGATTTAAATTTAAAATTCTTAAGTTGAGTATGGCTGTGTCAAATGCAATAATTCGCGCCTGTTTACTTTATAAGTTTAAACTTGGCACCAAAGCTGCAGAAGCTTGTCGTAGATATGCGCTGCTTTTGGGTAAGGTACCATAGCAGAACGGACAGGTTAAAAGTGGTTCAAAATATTTTTTTCTGGAAATAAAAACCTTGAAGATGAACCAAGATCTGGAAGACCATCCACCGTCAACAACCAGGATATCAAGCTGGCAATCAAGCAGGACTCCAGCCAAACATGTTAGGACCTTGCCTAAAGATTTTATATAAGTGATGAAACTATTTGTTCACATTTGCATCAACTTGGAAAATGTTGAAAGTTGAGCAAATGGGTACCTTATGAGTTGAGTGAAACAAACAAGCTACATCACTTAACCATCTGTTCATTGCTTTCCTGCCACAATTTAGTGCAATTTTTTGACCGGATGTTGACATACAACAAAAAGTAGATTATGTACTGCAACAAAAAACGAACATATCATTGGTTAGCCAGTAGCAATGACTCCTAACCACATATTCACCAACAAAAGGTTTTACTGTGTGTATGCTAGACTACAGTAGGTATCGTTCACTATGAGTTGCTGCCAAGTGGACAAACAATTAGTGCTGAGATATACTCAGCCCGATTGGACAGAGTTTTGGTTGCTCTTCATAAAAAACAAGCAGCTTTAGCGAACAGAAAAGGTGTTGTATTCCACCAGGACAACGCCAGACCGCATACAGCAAAAATCATGCAGAGAAACTCTGGCACGTTTACAAAGAGAGATTCTACCTCACCCTTCATATTCAGATCTTGCCCCAAGCGACTATCACCTGTTTTTGGCCCTGGATAATCATATGAGGAAACTACAGTTTAAAATAGAGAAGATCTCGAAAGTTAAATCAATTTTTTAGCTCTTAAACACAAGCTTGTTTCACAATGGGACAAAGTCATTCTTGCTGAAGGAGACTATTTTTCAGAATAAACTTTACTAAAACCGCACGAACTTCATTGGTTATCTGATATTTCAATAAAAAAATATAAAACACTTTTTTAAAAAGTAGTAAAAACTTTTATAGGTCTTTGTCAAATTTTTTATCAAACAAGTAATGTTGTTACTGACGCTTGTTATGCATCTATTCTTGTAACATTAACGCAACAAACATATGCTTTTAACAAGTATAAAACTAAATTTTGTATTTAATAAGCAATTTTTTCAATGAATAAACAGTTAGCTTGTGAAAAAACTAAGAGCTCTCATAAGAATCTGTTTAGAGGAGCAGTTCGCATGGCTGGCCATATTCAATTTAGGAGAGTTTTTTTCTGCTCTCGCACTCATATACTACCGCCGAGGCCTGTATATATAAATATATATATATATATATATGTGTGTGTGTATATATATGTGTATGTATTTATATTTATTTATATGTGTGTATGCATAGCATGACGCTATCTTATTGAAACCAAAAACACAATAATTTTGGTGATTAACCAAAAAGCCATCAAGGTAAAAAAGTGCTTTATTGTGTAGGAAAAAGCGCTTTATTGCGTAGGATAAATTTGAAAAAATCTCTTTAAAGATTTAAGAGCTATAAACTGTTGAAAAAACTGTTAAATTTAACTTCATGAAACTTTCAACCATAAAGAAACATGCATCAATCCTATGTACCAAGTGCTCATGTTTAAATCAACTCTCAAAGCGCCTTAAAAACATCTGCTTCAGATTATTCACAAAAATTGCCGAATCAAATGGTCACCCTCTTTGAATCAAATGGTCACCCTCTTTGAATCAAATGGTCACCCTCTTTGAATCAAATGGTCATCCTCTTTGAATCAAATGGTCACCCTCTTTGAATCAAATGGTCACCCTCTTTGAGTTTTTAGTTTGACCTTTGATGCAAAATCTCAAGAATTTTTGCATTTAACACTTTAAAAGTTTCTGCATTTAAAACTTTAAAAGTTTTGGTAAATTGTCATAAATACCTAAATATTGTATTTATTTATGAAGGCAATACAAATAATAACAATAAATTGATTATATCAGTATTTAACCTAGTTTTAAAAGTTAAACATAACAACATCTACAAAAAAATGATAAAAAAATTAAAAAATCATGTTACAGAAAGTTAAGAAAACAATCAAATTAAAAAATTATTACATGTGAATGCTGCTGTTTTAAATTGTTCATTTCCTTGTTTAACAGTTCCTAAAAGAATTTCAAAAGTTATTAAAAAATATCTTGTTAGAAAGTGTTGTGCCTTTATGTGAGAATATGGCTATTGTTAGTTTTTTCCTTTTAGCTTTTATTTACTGTTTTTTGATGTCAAGTTAAAGAAAATAATTCTGCAAGTAAGTCTAATCAAAATAATATTTATAGTATTATAGCAACTACTTATAAATATACAAAAATTGAATGTTCTTTTTTTTTTTTTGAATGGATTTCAAAATATTTCAGAAATTTTTTTTTTTTTTTTTTTTGGATAAATTTTTTTAAAATTTGGTTAATAATCAAAGGAAAATAATTTTGTTTTTAAATAAGAAATTTCTTTTAAAAAAATTTAATGCAACTAGAAATAAATGAGATAGTGGAGATAAATGATTTGTCACTTATTGCATTATTAGAAGAAAAAAAAATTAATAGAACATAAAATTATGGAATATAAATTGTGTAAGTTGAAGCTGTATAAAAATCAATAAATATTATAGCAAAACATTAAAAAATGGTAGCAAATAAAAATGAAAAGAATTGAAAAGATACCATCCATCTTTATCTTGAAATCTTTTTTTTTTTTTTGGTTGCTGTGTAAGCAATTTTTTAAATTGTTGATGTATCAGCAATGCCATCCAACAAAGATGCTAGCAATATTTTTTATTTTATTTTTTTGTAAGTATGTATATTCTTTAATATTTTTTTAAGCATCATCTGCAAAATTAGTTTAAAAATAAAAACTTTATCAACAAAAAGAAAAAAAAAAGTTTAAGAAAAATATATAAATATGGCAATCAAAAATTTTAAAGAAATAGTTTTTAATGAAAATTTTCTTGTATGTATTTGCAACTTGCCATTAACCACTTTGAAAAGTGTTTTATTTGAAAGCACAACAGTAAAATAATAATACAGCTGAAAATTAAAATACAGCTGAAAATAATAATACAGCTGAAAATTAAAATACAGCTGAAAATTAAAATACAGCTGAAAATAATAATACAGCTGAAAATTAAAATACAGCTGAAAATAAAAATACAGCTGAAAATTAAAAAATAATGAAATGGCTAGTTTTAAATTTTATAATGAAGAATTTCTTAAAAAATTCAAAAAAATAGTAACTCTTTGAAAAGTAATATGAAATAATTTGAAGCCAATTTAATTGCTTCTGAACAATTAAACCTAAACAACTAATAACAGTGGAATACATAAACCAAGTTGACACAAAATTAATGTTGAAAAACCAAGTTGGCAGAATGTTGAAAAATGACTTTCAGTTAAAGAAGATAAGTTAAAATATATATTGGTTTTCAAAAAATTCAAAACATGCCATTTTGCAAGAGAAATTTTATACAAATGTGTATCTTTGTGCAATATTTTATAAAAAATTTTAAATAAAAAAATAACTAAAAAAAATACTTAATATTAAAAATAAAACAAATAATATTAAATCTAATAAATAATACTAATTAAAATGTTCAATAAAATTTAACTATAAAAAATTTCAATTATAAATAATTTAACATAATTTAGTGAATAGAGATAAAAATTTATTAAAATTATTTTAATTAGTAGAAAAACAAAACTTCAAATTTTAAACTGTCCCCCTACTTGACAAAATATACTTTTCTAACTAAACTAAAGGTTATTGCAATACAGGTTTACCAATCATGCATTTAAAACTTGACAGTGTATTTGACAAAAAAAAAAAAAAAAAAAAAAAAAAAAAACCCACAACGCTTAGAAAACAATATTGTGTTTTCTAAACTTTGTTGTCTCTCCAGTTGATTGTCATTATATGGCTAAATTATTTAATAAGTTGTTTTAATGTATTGATTCTTATTTTCTTCCTGAATTTTTCAAATGTTCACATTTAATAACATGTTTAATATAACATAATTTTAAATTACTAAAACAACTAAAAAAAAAATTAAAATGTATAAATACAAAAAAACAAAACAATTTCCTTTTTTTTTTAAATATATATATATATATATATACATATATATATATATATATATATATATATATATATATATATATATATATATATATATATATATATATATATATATATATATATATATATATATATATATATACATAAATTGTAATAAATAAATGAACTTAAGAAAACTCTTTTATGTTACACTGATAAATTAGATAACTTTTAAAGCAGATTTTTTGTAGGATTTTGGTAACAAACAACAGATTTTAAGAAATACATTTTATTATAAGCCATGACTTTTCAATTTAATAAAACTATACCAAGATATGTTTATAAAAAAATTACTTTTTGACTACACATATACCTTTCTTTTGAGGAATTTAAAAGCAATGCAATGTAATTGGAAAGTACCTATAAATCACACAGTAATTTATAGTGATACATTCCAACTAAAATCAATATTTTTTTTTATAATCATAAAGATTATAGTTAAATGTTGTCATTTAACGCTGACCTTTTTTTTGTAACATGAATGATATGATACATAAAACATTACACTTTCTTTTTGTGTAGAGTACGTTAAAATAATTCAAGCTCAAAACATTAACTTCAATAGCTTCTCAGATAAATAGGCAAATTCCTGAATAGCCAACACCAACATCTTACATATTTTGACTTAACATCACACTAAAATGCGGAAAGAATTGTTGCAATGAAATGGTTTTTACTTTTTAGCAATACAAAAAACTGTTATAAAATAGGTTTTGTGAAAACTTCAACTAATCTTACGAAAGGCCATTTTAAAATTGAAAATAAGTTGAAAATAATAATAATAATAATTGCTTTTTAAAAAAAGTATTCTTCAGCAAAGTTTTAGTAAATGATTTTACATTATAATGCTAATTGATAAAATTATTTTCTAAAATTAAATAAAACATTAAATTTAAAATCAAATTAAATTCAATCATTTAGTTTTATATATTCTCTAAATCAGGTGCTTGAAATCCATTTTGTAGTTAGTCAGATAACAGTCAAATTCTAAAGTTATAAAAAATTGAAGACGATTCAGCATTTTTTAAAGATTAAAAATGTTTTTAAAATTTTTATTAAACAAAGGTTTTTTGTTTTTTTAATTTTTAATCTTTCCTTTTTTTTAGTTTCCTTTTCTTCCATTTTAATACAGAGTTTCCTCTGCTTTCATTTTAACCATTTTGATTTGAAGTTATAAATTTCAATACAGAGTTTCCTCTGCTTTCATTTTAACCACTTTGATTTAAAGTAATAAATTTTAATACAGAGTTTCCTCTGCTTTCATTTTAACCATTTTGATTTGAAGTAATAAATTTGACTAAAAAAAAAGCTTTAAAATAACATCATTTAAATGTACCAGAGTAACAACCCCTAAAAGATTTTCCCCTGGGTTTTGTTTTTTATAAGAAACTGTTTGCTTTTTATTTTTTTCAAGATAGAAGGGTTTTACACTTTTCACTTATCCCTAAAACTTATTTGATGTTTCAATCTCAATCACAAAAATAAGTATAAGTTTCAATGTTATTTTAAAAAAAAAAGATCATTTATTTTTAAATCAACTTTGATTCTGAAGCTGCACTTAATACTTCAGTGCACTTAAAACTTCAGTGCACTTAATACTTCAGTGCAGTTAATACTTCAGTGCACTTAATACTTCAGTGCACTTTATACTTCAGTGCAGTTAATACTTCAGTGCACTTTATACGTCAGTGCAGTTAATACTTAGTGCTTTCAATACTTTAGTGCACTTAATACTTCAGTTTGTGGATTAATTTGTAGAAAGCTTTATTTTATTTCAATTGAAATTTTTCCACTAAAATAGACTACTTTTTTACAACAGTCAATAATGTCTACCAGATAATTAAAAATTTTGTATTCTTGTTAATATTTTTTTAATGTGTATCTGTTATTTCTGATACTTTACACAGAACTTTAAAGTTTGAAAATTCTAAATTTTATTGTTTGCATAGTAAATTCTATTGCATATTCAAGTTGACAAACTTAGCACATAAATTATTTTTAACTCTCTTTTACAACACACAGTGGGCCAGAATTCACTTTTACTGGAAAAAACTAATAACTCGCCATAAAAAAAAAAAATTAAAAACCATTTTTGCACTGTTTACTAATTTTAAGATTGCAGTTTTAATGGTGATATTAGTTTTAATTTCGGATAGCTATAGGTACCTATATTGCTTAGCAACCACATACTTTATTAACCTTAATAAATATAAATTGGAAAAAGTTATAACTTTATTGTATTACTCCCATAATTACCACATTGAATATTTTTATGCTATAATTTTACTACAATTATTGTAGTGATTTTTGAATTATTTTTTGGATTTTTGGATTGTGGATATTGGTTGACAGTGAAACCTGAAATGCCTGACAATGGTTCATTTTTTATAGTTACTAGCTTAAGTAACTTTTCTTAAAGCTCTTAAAAACTAGAATAATATTAATGTGGCAGTCTGATTAAAAATTATTTTATGCATTTAATAAATTTAACACATTCCTAATTACTAATTTTAAGTATTTTTTTGCAGCTCCACCTCATGAAACTGCTGCATAATCCATATTAAAAAGAACCTAAAGCTTAAACCTTTTAATTTATATAATAATATAAAATTTTTGATTTAAAACCTCGGGCCTGGGGGGCCTGCCAGATTCTAAATTTGGATAAGAGCAGAGTTTTCTTTATCAATGGAAGCAGAATTTTCTTATCAATTACAAATTGAATTCATTTTGTAGCCATTGTTTGTTATTCTCTTCAAAACAAATTTTCAAATATTTGGATATAACTTTGTCAAAGATGCTTTATGAAATTAGACAGGTTATTATTTGCAGTTCGGTTTATGCCATTTACAACTACCCATAATATTAGGATTAGCTAAATTCAAGTTTTCTTGTATTATATATGAATAGATATCAATATTTTTTATGTTTTAATTATATAAATATATGAATTTCATTTACAAAATCTAATACATAGGTATTTTAAGATGTATTAATATCAAAACAAGTTTGTAACACTAATCTAGTTTCACTGAGATCCAATTTTTTGGATTATAAACCAAATATATATATATATATATATATATATAAAATTTTATCAAATAAATTTTTTTTTTTAAAATAAAAAAGCTTTTTATTTTACATTTTAGAAGCATTTGTCATGATAATTATACAATAATATATACATTTTGTAAAAGCTGAACGTTTAAGCTATAAAATGGTATATAATAATATAATTTTTGAAAACATATACATATATTTTTTGCTTTTGTCCACTACCTGGCCCACTGTGCAACAGCAGCATTTATTCAGAAGTCTCTCTTTTAGATTGGATTTCTTTACCTGTCTTTATCTATGTTCTTTAATAACACAAGAAAAACTGATTAAACGCCTATACTTTAATAATTATTATTTTAATCATATATCATGAAGCTAGGTTCCACACCCTTAATACCCAAGAAGTTTTACAACCTATCTTAACTTCATTTATTGTAAATAAAAATTACAAAAAAATTCACTGTAATCTATAATATTTTAACTAAATATAAACTTCATAAAAGTGAATAAAACTTTTATGTCAAGTAAATAGACTACTTATGTAATGTACTCCAACAAATGAGTATACTTTTAAGGTGTGAAAAATAACAATTACTAAATAATTTGATTATTAGAAGAAAAAAACCATGTAACAAAAATCATCTAGTTTCAACACCAAAATATATTCATACATACATACATACATACATACATACATACATACATACATACATACATACATACATACATACATACATACATATATACATACATATATACATACATATATACATAAATACATACATATATATATACATATATACATACATATATACATATATACATACATTTATACATACATAAATAGTTGTGTGTATGTACATACACACATTATCTAAAAAAATAGTATCTTTGTTTAAATAAAAATAAAATATATTCTATACGAATATATGCTTACAGCTGATGTAAAATCACTCACAAATTTTTAAATAAATATTAACTTAGAAGAAATTTAACATACACTAAAATGCCAATATAAAACTGTTGAAATTTTTTTTGTTATTCAACACCATGCAAAAAGGTAACTTCTAAAATCACTCAATAAAATTTGGTTTTTAAAAGAAATGTAAAATCTATTTAAAAAAAAAAGAAGTTGATGCCTATGACTTTTCAAGAGCTTTATAATTTCATTTTCTAACTGATTTTCTTTATTCTCTTCATCCTTTTTTTTTAGCAATATGTTTTCACTTTTAAACAACATAAATTTCCCATGAAAATATTTACATGTGTACATATAATGATCCAACCTTCTTAAATCTCTTCTCAAAACCAAACTTTCTAACTAATCTTATAACTCAACTTTCAGAGCCTATGATGAGCCAGAGTTATGTTGTTATTTTGTAATAGCAATAACTATAAAGCACTTTCTAACACTTTATTATCTTGCAACACTCACAATTAACTTGCTACATATCATATCACTTAAAGCACATCCTGCCAATCACAGGACATCTTTAAAAACTTGTTATTCACGAGCCCTTTTTAATAACTCGATGCTCTGGAAAAAAATAAAACCGATTAAAACATTCATACTATATACTCTTAAATAACCAAATCTTAATAACCCACTCTTAAATAAGAGACCTTTAAATAAGAGACTCATCGCATAACTTTTATCTAGCAAGATGCTAACTTAAATTTGTTTATTGTATGAAACCCAATTTCACACAATCAAAGCACACACACACTACCTGATACACCCTAAAATAAAAAGTGATCAAAGGGCTGGAATTAACATAATAAAATTCAATCAAAAAAATATAAAACCTGATCCCACTATAAATAAAAATATAAATCTATGAAAAATGGGTTTTAACTTTGAAAACTTTATCATTTTTTAATAACAAATGTTTTAGCTTTCTATTGCTAACTTTTGCAAGTGAAAATGTTATAGGTATATATACATATATATATATATATATATATATATATATATATATATATATATATATATATATATATATATATATATATATATATATATATATATATATATATATATATATATACAAATAGTATTGCGTACTAAGGTAAGCAATCTGACGTCATACTGAAATAGCCTGCTGCTGGGGGCTTCAGTACATACATCGACTGACAAATAGCCTGACTCGCAGTGAAGTGCTGCTACATCGACTGAGGGTTTGGGATGGGGCAGCAATCAATTTATTCATCATTCTTTGTTTTTTTTTCTTTTTTTTCGAAAAAAACGGTACGGTTTAAGGTAAGCAGAAAAAGTGAGCAAATGCTTATCAAAACACGCTTTAGTAAGTGTGTGTGTGTGTATATATATATATATATATATATATATATATATATATATATATATATATATATATATATATATATAAAAACTTGAACAAACACATATTCTATATTTAAATAAATTCTTAAGTAACACTATATCATTGAAAAAAAAAATTGCGAAAAAGTTTCAAGATAAAACTAATCATAAAGGTGCAAAAATTATTTTTTTCAAAAATTCAAAGGTGCTTAATTCGAGCCCTTTATCATTTATCAACAACTATATAGTTTTTTGAGTTAATTTAAGGATAAACAATTTTTAATACAAACTAATATATGAAATAAAAAAAATAAAAAATAATAATTACCACATTTTTTTATTTAATTTTTTCATATTACTTGAAACTTTTATTAAGATTGATTGCAAATAACTTACGTCTTTTTCCTCTTGTCGTTCTTTTGCTTCCTTATCAGCACTTTCTTTTTCTTCCCACTCTTCTTTTATTTTTTGCTAGGAAAATACCTTCAAATTACTTGATAGTTTAAAATTGATAACTAAGTATATCAGATAAGTATTTTAAATCATTAGCAAGGTTATTTTGATGCAGATAATCAGCAAGAATTCAATATGCAAGAGAACTAGCAAACTTCAAACAATACCATTAGTTTATCAAAATGAAATGAATTGTTGTCTAACCACTACCTCTATAAATTTATTTTGGAAAGTAACAATTTTAAACATGAAGCTCTTATTAAGACTTATTATAAAAGTTTGATTATATTAATATTATAAAAGTTCTTTGTTTCTTAATTAAAGCTTCAAGTCAGGATGTTTGATTTAAGTCAGAATGTTTGATTTAAGTTAGGATGATTGATTTAAGTTAGGATGATGTTTGATTTAAGTGAGGATGATGTTTGATTTAAGTGAAGATGATGTTTGATTTAAGTGAGGATGATGTTTGATTTAAGTGAGGATGATGTTTGATTTAAGTTAAGATGATGTTTGAATTAAAGAAGTCATCAAAATTAATTAAGTGAGGATGATGTTTGAATTAAAGAAGTCACCAAAATTCTTTAATGTTTTTTACAAATTCTTTAACATGTAAAAAAAAAACTTTTCATCTGGCTGTTATAGCTTTGCAAAACAATTCTTTGATCAAGGTCAAGTCAAAAGTCAAGGCACCTATAACTTAAAGAATTAAAAGAATAAAATAAAAAAAAAAAGAAATATGTGACAGAAAAGTATCAATTTTAATAAATAACAAACTTCTCTTTCTTCTTTTATTTTGAGTTTTTCTTCTTCCTCTTCTTTTTTCTTTTTTATTTCTACAATAGCATCTTTTTCTCTCACCATCCAATCTTGATGGTCTTTTTCCCTGAGATAGATTTAGAATATTTTTTAAAAACAAAACAATATTGAATATAATAAATGATAACAGTAACCATATCAATAACAATTAAACAATTTACTAGTTATCACCTAATGCACCATCTCAGCACTAACATAATGCGAACTCAAACAAAAAAAAAAATGAAATCTCAAAATCAAAATCAGAACTCAAAAAAAAAAAAAAAAAAAAAAAACATTTCAAAATCGTAACCAAAACTCAAACAAACAAAAAATTTAATAGCAAAAATGAAAATAGGAAAGGTAAGAAAAAAATTTTTTTTTTTACTTAATATCTTTATATAAAAAACATTTTGAAAGAATTTAATTCAAATTTATTTTTGGATTGTTAAAAATATCATTAAAGCATTAACTTGATCGAAAACAACTTTATATTTAGCAAAGTCTTAGAAAAAAGTTAAGAATTGTAGTTATATTTAGATAGAAATCTTGATTAAGCAAGTCTTAGTTAAACTTTGTTAAGAATTATAGTTAAACTTAATTAAAAGTGTGGTTAAGCAAGTCTTATTTAAAATTCAAAAGTTTTAAAGTTCTATGTAATATTAGAGATTTAAAAATTATGATTTTAATTTACCGTTTTAATTCATTTTCTTTATCCTCTTCTTCCTTTCTTTTTGCTTCCACTTTTAACTGCACCCTACATTCAATCATCATTTTCAAACAAACTGCTTCTGCATTAAAATCAATATTTATTGATTTTTTTTTTATTAAAAAAAAAGCTTACTTATAGTAGTCATCTTCTGCTTTTTTCCGCTCTTCTAAAAAAAAAAAAATTTTTCGCTTATTTATTATAGAAACTCTACATTTTAAATATTTAAATATAGAAACTCTACACTTTAAATATGTTTTTTTTAATATATATGTTCTTGAATTCTAAAAAGCTGTGAAGCCATGTAAAAATTTATGTGTAATTTATGTCAAAGATCTCTAAGGTTATTTTTTAAAAGGTTGTACAGCACCAAAATATTGTGTGATTTTTATTTTACATATTCAGACATTTTAATCTTTAATCTAATTTTTATTAAAATATTCAACATTGCAAATAGTGTTAAATGCAAAATGCTTTTATTTGATAAATGTTTGCAGGTTTTCAATAAAAAAATGCTTAATGCATTAGCCTAATATAAATTTGACATAAAATTTCTTTTATTTTTTTATTTTTTAAAGACATTAACTTTTTTAAAGTACCACAATAAAATAAGTTTATGCTACAAATGAGTTCAATTGAAAAATTAACTCAATTAACAAAAGCAATGTAGAAATGTTATTATGTAATGTTTATTTTTTTTTTCAATTTTTTTTTAATATTAAATAATTATATATAATATTAAATCTTTTTTATGTTTAATATGTACTATTTTCTTTCTAGATAGATACATTTACATTTAAAGATACATTTGTATAAATGAATTTAAACATTAAAATTTTTATTATTATTATTATTATTATTATTATTATTATTATTATTATTATTATTATTATTATTATTATTATTATTATTGTTAAAGTGTTTAATAGTGGCTTTTGTTTGCAACTAAAAAATATCTATTTTTAAAAAGTTAGAGAGTAACAAACAATAAATATAACTTATTGGAAAATAAAAATTAAATTAAAAAAAAAAAAAATAGTTAATTACTTTACCAACAATTTTGTTGTTAAAAAAAAAATTATTTTAGGCTTCCAAGAATCATTTATAAAAAGATGTATAGTGTTGCGATTTTACTAGCCATTAAAAAAAAAAATTAACAAAAAAAAACTGCAATTTTTTTATGCAGCTTTGGAACAAATATAAACTGTAAACCCAATTATAAACTAATTTTTTTATCTATATAAACTTAAACATATTTACTTTTTATAACGTATTTTATACCATTTTACTTCAAGATTCTAATATTTGCATTTTTCAATTAAAAAAATAAATCATTACAACAACTACAACATCGAAAAACAAAATATCACAATCAGCGATAATATAAAATAAAATTTAACTTTTTCTTTTTTTGTTGTTAGTAATATATTTTTTATTAGTAAATAGATATTTAAGTAAAAAAAATTTTATTGCTATAAAAAATTATATATAGTACTATATTTGTACTTGCAAGATAATATTTAAAACTTTTTATTATAAATAGTTCTTTTATGGGTTTTTTATTTTTATGTTTCATTTAATAACTTTGTATACAAAAAAGAAATTTGACGTTAACTATCAACAAGTTTTTTTGTTAATAACATGACTTATGCATTTTTCGGACATATTGTTATTTCGGATGTATACTAAAAAATCAAATTTCAACGTTGAAATTTAATAATTTTAAATTATTTTTTTTTTCTTTAATATTAAGGAAACAATGGTATTTCATAATCTAAAAAAAATATATATTATCTTTTATCATTTTTGAAATAATATGCATTCAAAGTATAACTGTAATCTTGTAAATCTTGCAAACAAAAAATTAGCGACCATGAGTGGCTACAATAAATTTTTTTTTTTGAGTATTTGCTTATTGCTCATTCAAACAAAAATTTCAATTTTTTTTTAAATCCTAACTGTTAAGCTAAAACTTTGAATTTGCAAAACTTTGGTAAACTCATTATGTACTTTAATATTAATCTATATGTATAGATAAATTATACATATTTATCTATACATATAGATTAATATTAAAGTACATAATGGAACTAGAATTAGACGGGGTGTTATAGTGATTTTCAAATAAAAAATATGATAAAAAGAATAAAATCAAGGTGGCTTTCGCAAAATTGGTAAAAAGAACATTAAACCAAAAACAAGCATTTCAAAAATACGGCATAACAAAATCCACTTTTAATAATCGTGTAAATGGAAAGCATACTGGCAAGGTTGGTAAAGGAACTGTTTTAAGTATGGCTGAAGGACTTATGCTAGTTGAATATTCTACTCATCTTGCAAATATTGGTTTTGGTGCTTCTCGATTTGAAGTTAAACAATTTGTTAATAATTATCTTATTGAATCAGATCAAGCGAATCTGTTCAAAAAAGGTGAAGTGACTGACAATTGATATTATGGCTTTATGAATAAACAAAAAAAATAAGCTTTTAGATTTTAATAAACAAAAAAATAAGCATTTAGAATGCCTGACAATACAGAATCTAAACGTGCTGGAGCATCTAATAAACTAATTTTTGATGCTTGGTATAAAGAATTGAATGACATTTTTGACAAATATGGTTTTCATACAAAGCCTATGCATATATTTAATTGGGATGAGTCAGGTGTGCAGTGGTTAAGTGGAAATGGTAAAATATGTGGCAAAAGCAACAAGAATCCTAGAAGAATGTCAGCTAACAATGAAAAAAAAACTTATACTATTTTAGCTTGTTGTAATGCCTTTGGAAACTTTTTGCCATTTCATATACTTCATAAAGGTGTAAAGATTATGTCTACGTGGTTTAATAATGCAACAACTGATACTACTTTTGATGCTCATGAATCAGGATGGATGGAAAGTGAACAGTTTTATAACTGGTTTTACAAAGTGTTTGTACCCCATGTTAATAGAATGGATGATGAATATAAACTGCTTTTTCTTGATGGTCACGCATCTCACTTATCAATGAAATTAATTAAGTGCGCTAAAGAAAATAAAATAATATTATTTAGACTAGCAGCTCATACAACTCATTTAACACAGCCATTTGATGTTGGGGTATTTAGAACAGCGAAATCTAAATGGCTAGAGGTGCTTAATTCTTACTTCAGGATCAGTACCGATATTAATAAAGAAAAGTTTTCTCATTTTATGAAATATGTAGTTGAATATGGATTCATACCTGAAAATGCAAGAGCTGGTTTTGAGAAATGTGGTTTGTTTCCATTAAATCACAACAAAATACCTGATTGTCATATTAATGAAGTATTTAAGCCAGTAAATGAAAATAATACAAATAATGCATCAACATCAGCAGTAACTAGAATACCAAGAACATTAAACCCACTAGTGAAGCGTAATAAATTATTGCAAGAAATAAATAATGTAGTAAAATCTAGCTATTACTTCAACAAATATATAAAAATATGGCAGTTAAAATATTGCAAAGAGAAAAAAGCTCAGTCCAGAAAAAAACAAAAGGTATACAAGTTAAAGGTAATTGCCTAACTTCAGATGATTTTGTTGCTCAATTAATAGCTAAAAAAGATGAAAATAAAAAGAAAATAGATGAAATAGCTCAACAAGCAAATGAAAGAACAACAAAACAAAAAGGAATTGCTGACAAGCATAAAGAAGACACTGAAAAACGTAAACAAGCAGCTGAAAAACATAAACAAGAAGTTAAAAAATGAAAACATGCTTCTGAAAAACACAAAGAAGAAAACCAAAAACGCAAGCAAGTAACAAAGACAAGTAAGCATAACGCAAAAAAAAATAAAAATTAATGAAACAATTGAAATTGTTGAGTCCACTATAGTCACAAATACAAATAAAGCTATTAACGATAATCGAAATACTATTCCTTCATGGCAAACCACACAAATTATTCAACCCACGGCTTGTGAATGTGATAAAATTCATCAGGAAGACCCTTTCAATTATCAATGGATAAATTGTAAAAGCAGATGTGGTAAATGGTTTTGTGGTACTTGTTTATTTTTATTAATGAGATATAATTTCAATTTGAATTTATATGTTTTTGAATGCAAATGTATGCAGTTATCTGTTGAATAAAAATCCAAAACTAAATAAATGGTTTTGTATTAAAAAAAAAAAATCTGATCATTAAATGTATGCGGGTGTATGTGATTATTTTTTTTACTATAAAAAAAAACGTTTTATTTTTGCAACTTTGATTTCTAATTAAATTCGTAAATAAATTATAGCACTTTTTTTTTTTAATGGTTTTTTATGCATTTAATTTTTATGCAGCTTGTTGAGATCTACAAGATTATGTAAAAATATTTTTTAAATTTCTAAAGTTTAAATGTCCTAGTTTTCATTCAAAAATAAAAACGTCCGAAATATACATAACTTATGTTAAATACTTAACGATAAAAAGGTTTGCATTTTCATTATTTTTTTAATTTTATCTGAATTTATTTCATTCAAACTTTTTAATCAAAATTTTTAAATCTTTATTCAAAAATTTAAGTGGTTTTTTATAAAACTTCTTTTATCTTACCACTTATAGACTAATTTATATACTCAGCTAAATTTAGGATACTTTAAGAAAAATGCTTTTAGCATATTTATTTAGCATTAGCAATTTTAGCATAAAATCAATTTAAAATATTTTTTTTAAGTGATAGAATATATATGAAAAAATATTAATTTCAACAATTTCTTATAAAATACTTTTTTTAAAACACAAGACCATAATTTTTCATCATAACAATGCTTAGACACATGTTAAAAATCTGTTCAGAAAATAGAGGATAGAAAGTTTTGATTTGTAATGGCTGATTCTTTTTTAGCCTTAAAACATAAATAGCTTTAAAAATTACCAGAAAGATGGGAAATGTTATAGCTACAGATGGGCAATACTTTAAATAATGCACTAATTTATTTTTTAATTGAAGTTAAGCCATAATTTGAAAAAAAAAACAAAAACAAAAACAAAAAAACATATTTGTAGAATCAATAGTTTTTGAAAAGAAATTCTTTTAAAATGAACATAATTATCATAAAATAGACAAAAGTTAAGTGCAGTACTACAAGAGACTTAGTGGAGTTTGATCTTGTTTCTTTTTTAGTATAAAAAAACTAAATTTTTGACTGCGCAAGTGAAAATTTATTTATGACTCTCTTTTTAAATAGTTTTTTTTGTACATGTTTACAAGTTAATATTACAATTTAAAAAACAAAAGCTATTAGAACACATTTAATGCCACTTAAAAAAACAACCAACTATCAAAAATATACCTTCGGCTTCTTCTTTTTCTTTTTTTCTTGCATAATCTTGTCTCATGTCACGTCTTCTCATTTTTTTCAAATGTCTTCTCCACTGTTTGTGGCTGTGAAAGTGGAATAGTCAAGGTAACATTTTAAAAGAAATAATATTTTAGAAAAAAAAATTATATCAAAGTCAGTTTGAATATTTTTAACCTAAAAATAATAACAAGTTAATTTTAAAAAGTCGAAAGTCCAAAAAATTTGTTGATTTAAATTGTTTTAAATTTAATTGTTTTGGTTACAACTTAAATAAAAGGTTAGTTTTTGGAATTATAATAGAGTGTTTGCTTTGTCATTTTTACTTAGTAATTTTTTTTTTTTTTGAAGCATCTAATTAAAATCAAATTAAAATGTTTATTTTTTTGTTTTTTATTATTTTATTTAGAATTGAAATAAATCACTCATTTTGCTTTTGTGTTTAAAATTAATTTGTTTGCAACTCAAATAAAAAGTTAGTTTTTCACTTTAACTAATTTAGTTAGAACTTAACGCATTCGAAATAGCAAATGAAAATAAGTTTCAAAATTTAGAGGTCAGCAAAAAATTGCTGATCTCAGTTACTCTCAGGTTGGCAGTTAGGTTGGCATTGCTGAATGCCAACCTTAATTCCAAGGGCTGTAGATAACCCTAATTCCAAGAGCCGTATATGTAGGTAGGCCTAATTTCAAGGGCTATATATATATATATATATATATATATATATATATATATATATATATATATATATATATATATATATATATATATATATATATATATATATATATCCAGGGTGTTAACCAGGAATAAATTTTATATATTGTTTGACAAATTTGTCAAAATATTTTCAATTTGCCACAATATTTTCCAATCCCCCTCCTCCCCCTAAACTAAAAATGTGTTTTGAAAATGTGTAGGGTCCTTTTTTGATCTTCTTTCCTCTTCTACGCCCTTTCAGCTCTACATATATTGATTGGTTAGCGCAACAAAAAAAACAAAAAACGTCTGTAACCTTTATTGAAGATGAAGTCAATACAAAATTGAATTGGCTTCATAACAACACAGCAAATTAAACTCCGAAATTAAATCAGTGTTATATTAACTATTATTAAGAATTGTATATTTGATTTATTTATAATCTTAATTTATCATTGTTGCTTTTATTTTAAGAGTATTCTTTTGAATTTATATTTCTTTTTCTTTTTTGGACTTTTTTGATACACAAGCAAATCAAGAAAACAACTAAATCAATAATGCATTTCTCAAAAACAAACGTATTAAATTCTGCTTGACGCCCTTTATAGACATACCCTTACAGCATCATGTAATAAATTGTGTCATTATAAGAAATGTTTTAAAAATAAAAAAATGGAAAAGGTTTTGAAATAGTAGCTCGAAATCGTAACACGAGCCCATAAATTTTATATTTCACATTCATTGTGAGTTCAATTTTATAAATAATATTAATTTTCTATATGTCGCATAGCGAAATAAAGTTACAATTACAAAATTTCAGCAAAAACAACAACAAATGTTGTTTAATTACAAAAGAATATGGTTCGCAAGCCATTGCAGACCATTGTTGCAACCTATAATTATTTTTTCATTTATAATCATAAAATGTGGTTCATTCAAACATTTAAACTTGCTTTTACATTTTAAATTCAAGCAAGCAACAAATTTACTTTTCTTGTTTTTTATTATTTCTAGTACCACTTTAATAAAACTGTAATAAAAAAAAACATTCTTGTTATTAAACAATATTGTTTTTTGTTTTAATATACGTATTTAATTTACAAGCTTTATAATACAAACAAGCAATCAAATGAAGAAATCTATCTTCCTCATTAAATAAATTTATAATATAATTTGTTATATTATAATTATATATTTTATATGATATAAATTCTAATCATAAAACATCTTTTTATTAAACTCATATTTCAGAAGTGATTTTTAAAAAAGTTAGTCAAGAAATGATAGTAAATAAAAATTTTTTTTGTTGATGCCTATAAGTTAAAAAAGGTTATAGTTGATGCAATCACCTAATTCAGTTGATATAAACTACTAAACAAAAAAAGAAAAACAATAACTAAAAAACTTTCTGTAATATTCGTATTGATCAAAATTTCTGATTTAAACAAATTTTTGATATTTTGAATAAACTTTGTAGACGAAGCACATGTACTACTTGATGTAGAGTTTGCAGCAAGACTTATTAGTTATTCAAATTTTCAGCCAAAATGGGCAAAACTTTTAAAGAAATAGAATTTTTGGGTGTTAAAAACATATTTGTTTTTTTTAGATTGTACTTTATTTCTTGCTAACTTTTTTATATAATATTTGCTGTTGTTGGAAGGGATTGCAAAGAATTAACTGCAAATTTTGAAAAAAGAATTTTACAACAAGTTATTGAGAAAATCCTTAAAATCGCTGGGAAAATCCCAATTCTCAAGAAGTTTTCCCAAAAGACATTTTCACAGTTATGCAATCGTGTAGTTAGCGACAATTTTATTTCAATTTTTACACAATTAATAAATTAGAATTTCTTAAGTTATTTTTCTATTAGTATTTAATAATAATTAATTTTCAATAATTTTCAGAATTATTTCTAAATTTCAACTTATGATTAAGCAAACTTTATTTGGAGAATGGGATTTTTAAATTAGGAATTTTAATTTTATGAGCATTTGGGAATACCGCGTTTGACGGGACCCCACAGGGCTAGTTTATGCCCCGATAAAATAATTATTAGCATCATGATATATATATATATATATATATATATATATATATATATATATATATATATATATACATATATATATATATATATATATATATATATATATATATATATATATATATATATATATATATATATATATATATATATATATATATATATAACAGTTGGGCTAAAAAGTTCGTATCGTTTAATAGAAAAACACATTTTTTTTTCAAAATTCGGTTTTATTATTCAACATAGTTTCCATCAGAGGCGATACAGCGATTATAGCGATCTTCCAACTTTTCGATACCATTTTTGAAGTACGATTTGTCCTTTGCTTCAAAATAGGCTTCAGTTTCAACGATCACCTCTTCATTGCTCTTAAATTTTTTACCAGCGAGCATTCTCTTGAGATCTGAGAACAAGAAAAAGTCACTGGGGGCTAAATCTGGAGAATACGGTGGATGAGGAAGCAATTCGAAGCCCAATTCGTTCAATTTAAGCATCGTATTCATTGACTTGTGACACGGTGCGTTGTCTTGATGAAACAGAACTTTTTTCTTCTTCAAATGACGTCGTTTTTTTGCAATTTCATCCGTCAAACGCTCCAATAACGCAATGTAATAGTCACTATTGATTGTTTTTTTCCTTCTCAAGGTAATCGATGAAAATTATACCATGCGTATCCCAAAAAACAGAGGCCATAACCTTCCCAGCCGATTGTTGAGTCTTTCCACGCTTTGGAGTCGGTTCATCGCGTGCAGTCCACTCAGCTGACTGTCGATTGGACTCCGGAGTGTGGTGATGGAACCATGTTTCATCCATTGTCATGTATCAACAAAAAAAATTGGTTCTATTTTGATGTAACAGCTCTAAACACTGCTCAGAATCATCAATTCGTTGTTGCTTTTGATCAATTGTGAGTTCACGCGGCACCCATTTTGCACAGAGCTTTCTCATATCCAAATACTCATGAATAATATGTCCAACGCGTTCCTTTGATATCTTTAAGGTGTCAGCTATCTCCAACAACTTCACTTTACGATCATTCAAAATTATTTTGTGGATTTTTTTCACATTTTCATCGGTAACAGCCTCTTTTGGGCGTCCACTGCGTTTATCGTCTTCGGTGCTTATATGACCAGTACGGAATTTTGCAAACCACTTACGAATTGTTGCTTCGCCTGGTGCAGAGTCTGGATAACACTCATCAAGCCATTTTTTGGTATCGGCAGCACTTTTTTTCATTAAAAAGTAATGTTTCATCAACACACAAAATTCTTTTTTTTCTATTTTTTTTCACAATAACAAAAGTAGCGTCACTACTAGAGCAATATATCACAAACTAATAATCTGACAGCAGTAAAATTTTTACACGTATCTTTTCAAGGTTGGTACTAACTAAAAATGGTATGAATTTAATTCTAGTGGCGCCATTTCTTAGAAACGATACGAACTTTTCAGCCCAACTGTTATATATATATATATATATATATATATATATATATATATATATATATATATATATATATATATATATATATATATATATATATAATCATTACATGACTGACATAACACAATAAACTAAAAGACAATCAATAAAATATATTTTATTTCTGTTTAAAAAATAACGCTACTAACAAGCTAGATTTAATATTTAGACATTTTTTTTTAATATCAATTGGTTTTAATGAGAATTAACACTGAAATGTTGCAACACTGAAATACAACAACACTGTAGCAACACTGAAAAACAACATATTTCAACAACATATGTTGTTGTTTTATGGAAAGCTTGCCATAATTGATTGTATTAAAAAAAGATGGGTATAATTTATCACATTCAATATTTCGAGTGTAATATTTATGTACCTTACATAATCAAGAAAATGTCACTAAATATTTGTGTCATTTTACATATACTTATTATATTTATATATTAGTTATAAAATCATATATAAATATATATATATATATATATATATATATATATATATATATATATATATATATATATATATATATAATAATAATAATAATAACAATAATAATAATAATAATAAGTTTAATGAAAAACTAAAACAAAAAATAACTTTATTTTATGAAACAATGAAAAGATATTTTTTACAATTAGATAATGCGGCAAACAGAAGACTTTTCACAAATGTCCATAGAATATTTTCCCAAAATAACTTTATTTCTTGAGTTTTGTACTCCTTCAACGGTCCCTTGCTTCAAAGGGGCTTCAAAATTAACACTATCCTTTAAATCTTGGTTATTCTTTGATATTGGTTGAAAATCTTTATAAACAATCTGGAATGTATCCTTATAACGCAATGTAATATTTTGATTATTATTTGAAATACCAGCCCATTCCATTTACTGGTTTATTAGTAATAATTATTTAGTAATTAACTATACTATTGAACTATACTACTTAACTGATGTTTGTTTATTAAAAATATATCAGAATAGAAAGCAAACAAACGAAAAAAATTTAGTGTACATTAGATTGCGTTTTTATTATAAAACTTGTTACAGATATATTTAGCATTATTTTACAAACATATAAGAATTAAAAACATTGGAGACAACCTTTCTACATTAGGTTATAAATTTTAAACGTGTAATTATCATAAAACATTTTGTAATCTTATTTCAACTTAACCATGCTGGCCTTTAAGGTGTAAAACAGGTTAAAAAAAACTTTTTTTTTTACACTTTTGTTTTCTAAACAAAATGTAAGAAATTTTTATATTGATTACAATTATAAAAAAAAAAAAAGTTTAAAATTCATAGATTGTGTTTTCATTTAAAATGAGTAACAAATATATTTTTCATTATAGGTTATTATTCTTAAATGTCCAATTATAATAAAACCTTCAATAATCTTATTTCAAATTAACCATGCTGGCTTTTTGGAATAAAACGAGTAAGAAAAATATTTTTTTTACACTTTTGTTTTCTAAACAATTTTTAAGAAACTTTTATATTGGTTACAATTTTTTAAAAAAGGCTTAAAATTCAAAACTTTAATTTAAAGTCATAATTCAAAAAGTACAGCAATGGTTCTTTCATTTAATATAAACAACAGTTTTAAAATAATTTGCACCCTAGTTTCAAAATTTCAACAAATTTCAAAATAATTTGCACCCTAGTTTTTACATAATACTGACAAAGTATATGTAAAAACTATGAAAACTGATTAGTAAATATACATTAAATGATAAATAGAGAGTTTTGACTAAAAATTGAAGTACGTAATTTTGATTTTTATACATGTCATTCTTAAACATTTTTTTTTTAAATTATATTCAGTTAGAAAAGCGCATTTTCAACAACATTGTCTAGTTGTTGTTGTTTTTTTTAAATCTCTTTTTTTAATTCTATTTTAACATGATTGCATGCATTATTGTACACAAGAAGATTTATTTTTTTAAAGTTTTTATACATTAATATGAAGATTTAGTCGTACTTTATTTAAAATCAATAATCTTGAAGTATCACCTTAGTTTTTTTATAACAAGAGTTGATATCTTAGAAGCTGATAGTGATGGATTTTGTGGAGAAAGAGAAATATTTACTACAGGTTCTGCTGATAAAATACTTATTGGATCATCATCCATAACACAAACTCCATAACGGTAAGCGTGACTTTTAATGCCTTATCCCATGAAGTTGCGCTCGGGTCTGTCTTTTCATTTTCGAAAGATGCGATAGGAAATTTTTGAAAGAGAAAATTTTGTTCATGTAAAAAATATTTTTTTCAAATTGATAACCGCGAAAGATTGTTAACCAGCATAGTTGGAAAGAACGGAATGTTGCTTTTTTTTTAACATGTGTTGCTTTTTTTTAAACAAAGAACAAATAATTCGCAGATTGTAATTTTTGTATTTCGTATTCAACATTTTTTACATAAAACTTGAAACTTAAACTGTTATGAATATATTTAACTACTAAACATTCGACAAAAATATATAAAGTAAAATCAACGTAAGTCGTTACAGAACTTTTATGAAATAAAGTAAATTAAAATTTAACAATTTTGTTTAGACTCTAATTGTTTTATTACTATTTTATATATATATATATACACTTAATTAGAATTTTTGGAAAGAGTAAATCTGCAACCTGTTATGTATATATATAAAGTGAAGACCTTACGATCAAAGTTTTGTTCAACAATAACACATAGGAAGTTGGGGTTCAGTGGCTCGAGGGGCACAGTGAATAAGAGGCATTTTCTCAACGATTATATTTTTTTTCATCTTGATATCTTTATTTATAGTTGTTACCACATAATTTTTGAATACCGGTTTTTGGTAGGTAATTTTTCTTTTTAGCTAACTAAAGTTAATTTTCTTTCTTTCCTTATGTTTGTTATGAAGATCGTGGTTGAAATAATTTTAAAAGTTGAAGTTTTTCAATCGGATGATTGATAATTATGCTTCTTTTTAGTATTTTACTTTTCTTTTAACAACACTCGTAATCCAAGAAATTATCCTTAAACTTGATTTGTTATGGTGGGGCACAGTGAATCGGAAATTCACAGTACCCCAGTATTGGGGCACAGTGAAATTGTTAGCAGGAAACGGAGTGAGTGAAAGACATCGGATAGAACAATTCCCAATTTTAACATCTAGGTTGTGGGTTTTTAATGCTAAAAAAATATTTCTTTAGATCAAACCATTATATCTTTTAACTTGTCCATTACTGATATGACGATATGAAGTTAAATCACTTGTAATTTCTTTCTGTGTAAGGTACGATTTGAATTTAATAAGCATAATGAGGAGCCTCTGTTAAAATTAATATAAGTTAGAAAACTACAAAGAGAGAATGTTCGATTTTAACATTTCACATGGGATAGAAAATGGATATCAAGAATATTTGTCAAAAACAATAAATAAATATTTATTTCTAGAATTAGGTGGATTTGATTAACTTACTGAAATTTGCAGATCGATAAAACTTTTCAACTGCCATATTTTTTCAGAATTAAAACTAGTTTTAATTCTGAAAAAATATGGCAGTTGGAACAAACTTTCTTAATCTTCTTAGTAAATTTTTAGATTTAATAAAGTGAAACATACGAGTGACTCTTGAATGACATAGGTAATTATGTATATTGCTTAGGTTTGTTTGAGGTTGTGTTGTGGCACTAAAAGCACGCGTAAGTGCATTAGGAATAATGTTATCGCTTTCATGGAGATACGATATAGTGTAACTGAATTCTGCTAACTCCTTCCTCCAGCACTGAATCTTACTACTTTTAATCTTTGTTTTCATTTGGTTAACAAACATAAAAGCTACAGAATACTGATTAACAGGAACCGGATTTCAAACAGCTTCAATAATAGCCACAGCTTCTTATTTTACTGCTGGATAATTAATTTCACTCCTGTTTAACGTTTGAAACATAAAAGCAACTAGGCGACCATTTTGATTTAAAGTAGCTGATACTGCTATCTCTGATGCATCACATTCAACAACAAAAGGTAAGCTCTCATCAATAGAACTCAAAGTGGCAGTGTGAAGTTCTTGTTTAAGTAATTGAAATGTTTCAAACGCTTTACTATTAATTGGAGAAAATTCAACATTTATTGAAGGTTGAACTTTATTAGCTAAAGAAAGGATCCACTTTGAGTAATTAGAAAACACACCCAAAAACGTCCAAAGAAGGTGGTAGTAAATTTAAAGGATGTAATTGTTCAGCATCCGGTTTTGTATTGTTATGACCAACGCAATAACCAAGAATATTTATTGAAGAAACTGAAATGACATACTTTGATTCATTTAACGTTAGGTCTCAACGTTAATAGGCATCTTGAAACCATTAGCAATTTTCATCGTGATGTGTCTAATAATAGCCACCAATGGTTATATTATCCACCAATGTTTATATTAGAAAAAGTGTTATGTAACCTTTCTTCTTCGACAAACATGTTCATAAGTCTTTCAAACATTAGCACGCCATTAGTTACTCCAAATGGAATCCTGCAAAATTGGAATAATTTACCATTAGCTTTATACGCTGTATACTTTTTATCTGAATCTTTTATATGAATTTAATGGTAAACACTTCAAGTCGAATGATGAAAATACTTTGTATATTGCAAGTTCATTTATCATATCATCTATTCTGGGAAGAAGATATACTTCTAATCCAGTGTGAAGGTTAACTGTTTGAGAGTAATCAATGCATAGTCTTTTTTTTTTAAATAGACAATCACTTGACAACCAATAAACAACCACTTGAAGTAGTACTAAAACTTAGTTTATGCATTGCAGCTGAAACACTGTGGGATATATTTTGAGCTTGGATAATAACATTTTGAGCTGAACAACTTTTCTTAGCAGAGGTTCGATTAAGTTGTTTGTGCAATTTATTACCAAAACACTTTTGGCAATAAATAATAAATAAATAATAAATAATAATAAATAGTTTGTTTGTGAATGAATAGTACCAAGTACTAAAAAAGGTTCTTTTGGTAATTTTTATAGCAGTAACAAGATTAGGATTGATAATGAGGCCAGTCTCTCTATATAAGACTCTATGAGGACTGGATCCATAAGGTTCTATAATTTCCTCTACATATAAGACTCTCTTGACATTGCTGTTGACAGAGTTCCTCTGTCAAGAGCAATGTCAAGAAATCGAGATTGGTTGAAAGCTGATTAGAGAGTCAATGTTGAATTTTTAAGAAGACGTTAGCGAATGTAATTTGAAGTTATTCCAGAAATAAAAGCGTCTTTTATTTGTTCCTCTAGATACTGTTTAACTGAAACATTTTTATAGTTTTTTTTTTAACATCTTAAGTTATAACAAGGCTGCAAGCAACCACTATTAGAGTTGAAAGTTACTGGAAGATAAAAGATGAAGTTGATAAAGCAAGATAACAATCAACAGACAACTTAAAAAATACAAGTTATATGAATCAGAAAAACAAGAAGAAGGGAGCGAATTTCAAAGAACTGATATTTGAGGAAAAAAGCTAGATAAATAAGAACTTTTGGAGCACTTAGGAACAGTCACAGTAAAAGGATGAGACTTAATTGAATGACGAGTAGCACGAAAATAAATTTTAGTAGACAGCACAAGAGACACAAGTAGTAGACAGCACAAGTTTTAGTAGACAGCACAAGAGACGCTAGCTCTTTAGAGCAGTGCTCATAATGGGCATTGCTCTATAGAGCCCATTAATTTACTTATAGAAAAGAGAAGCAACATTACGACGATAAAACAATGGTTTAAGGTTGTCTGCAAATGCAGCTCCAACTATGTTTACAATGCAACTTTTTGCACCTTGTCGAAAATGATGCCCTTTCTCTAAAAGAGAAAAGGCATCATTCAAATATACGCACCAGATATGGCAACAGTATTTCATACATCAACGAATTTGTGGTTTATAGAGATAAAAAATGGAATCCTGATTTAGAAAGTGGCGAGCACGATAAAAAGATGCAACTTTTGCATCCGATATGGCTTTTAAGAACGATCGGATGTAAGAGTTAATCCTAGACGTCGAAGGGTAGATGACTCATCGATTACAATACCATTCATAAATATGGGAAGATCTAGACTGTTGCGATAACGATTAGCTAAAAAAAAATTGAGTTTCATCTAGTTATAGTTAAAGTTAACCAGCCACTGAGAGCCCCATTCTGTAGCAGAAGTGAGGTCCTTCTCAAGCTCAAATGTCTCTTCCAAGCCATTAGTGAATGTTGACTTCTTATCAAGACAAGAATAAATGATAGTATTATCAGCGAGCAATGCCAACTTAGATGTGAGAATATCTTAAAGATCGTAATATAAATTTAAAAAGTATACGGTCAAGGATAGAACCTTGAAAAACCCTTAAGTTAAAAAAAAGAGGAGTGCTTTTCATTGTGAACAACTTTTGTACTAGGATTGGTAAGAAAGGATTCAATAATCTTAAAGATGTTACCTGATGCACCGTAAGAAGGAGCTTACGGATAAGACCAGCATGCCAAACTTTATCAAAGGTTTTAGAAATATCGAGAGCGATAGCCTCAGCTTCTCCACATTTATCTAATCCACAATAAAACCTATCAGTTATTACCGTTAACAAATCAGTAGTAGAACAAACAGATCAAAATCCATAATGATTATCAGAAAGTAAGTTATTAGATTTCAGATAAAACACCAAGTGTTTGTTAATTAAAGTTTCAAAACCTTGCTTATGATAGGAAGAAGACTAATGAGACGATAAGTTAAACAAGTCAGATCTCTCTTCAGATTTAAAAAAAAAAGGAATAACAGAAGCACTTGTTAAATAGTCTTGAAAATATAGACGACGGCGCCGGAGAACACTTCTGCAAGACTATATCAGGTATGTTGGACCGCAAGCTGTAGAAGAGTCTAAGCAGAAAATCAATTTAGATAAAGAAGCTAAAGTGATACGAATGTCAAATAATAGATCAACCTGTTTTTCGGCAATATCAGGCAGGATGTGATTAGCGGAATTAAGAGATGAGATTGATGAAAAGTTCTTAGCAAACAATTCAGCTTTGTCTTTAGGTGAGGTAACAAAATTTGAGCCATTTAAGACAGATGGAATAACAGATTTGCCTTTATTATAGACACTGTTAAAGATTCTATAGAATAGATTCATTGTAGTCTCATTTTTTAGATGAAATACGAGATTTTGTGAACTGAGAATAG